GCGGGAGGTGGCGGGCGGGCGGCGGAGCTCTGCGGCGCGTAGCGGCTGCGCGGGCCGCGCTTCGGGGGCGGGCGGTGGGAGGCACAAACCGATTTGCCCGGCTGTCATCACGTCAGCGCTTCCCGCCGAGCTACGGGTGTGCGCCGCGGGCGCTTGAATTTCTGGGGAAAGCAGGCGGCACGCTGTTGTTCGTGAGGTTCAGGCAAGTCTGCTCCCTTTCAGCCACGTCCCCTTCCTCATGCGGTAACGCAGGCTACACCCTTTGCTCTGTCCCGTACAGCGGACACTACGCGGACTCGCTAGCTGCTAAAGGTGGACTTCGTTAATCCCAGTAAATGCGGGAGGGCCGCAGAATGTTCCGCTGCCGCCCCGCGGAACGCGGTCATGTGCGCCCGGTGCTGGTACGAGGCGCAAAGTCAACGAGGAGCGAGAAAGGTGTCATCTTAAAAATCATTGCACAGGCTGTGGTGCAAACCCCAGCAAACAGAGAGGAGACGTCAAAGAAACTTTTTATTGTACTACCCCCTGTTGAGTAGGAGAAAGATAATCAAGTGTCCCACTAAAAAAAAAAAAAAAAAAAAACCTTCAAATGAAAACAGACAATAATAAATGAGCATTTAGTAAAAAAAAAAAAAAGGTATTTCTGTGAAAGTGAAAAGTCTAGCACTATATATATATTTATCTATTTGCCAAAACTAAAATATCACAAGACATTAATAGAATTCAATGTTTTGGGTTTTGTTTTTTGTTTTTTGTTTTTTTTTTTCCTTAGCAAAAGAGTGGGAGAAAGTCAGCATCCAAACCTGCAGCGATTGTACAGGCATGCTCTGTCTGTATTGTTTAGTATTTTATACTGATTATGCTACCTGCTTCAGTTCTTAACTAGGGCTAGAGGAATTGTAGGTTCGTAAGTTACCTCCCTTGGCAGCTACCCGGCAGTGGTGGAAACCTACTTTTCCTAAGGAATACAATTTATAGTTACTGAACCCATTCCTGCATTTGACTTTTCTATACCTTTCAATAGAGTCTGCAAAGCTCTAGCGAAGTTTTTTTTCCTAAAGAGGTGTGATGGGAGAAAGCGTAGATTGACGTGCGAGGAAACACAAACAAGACTGAGCTGGGCAGCAGAGTAGAAATAAAGGCATGGAAAATACTTTTGTGAAAATGAGAACCTAAGGATAGGAAGATTGACAGGCAAGGAAGGAGCAAATGAAAGACTGGAGAGAAGGGTAGGAAAGTCAGTGTTTGGGACAGGGGAAACAGCATTTGTCAAAGGACTTTTAGTGGTCAGCAAAGATAACCAGTATAAAATACATATGTTGAAGGGTAAATTTTAAGAAGAAACACAGGAATTACAGATTGAAGTGTGTTTCTCTAAGGAATGGGTCAAAAAAAATCACTAAACAGAACAAAGCCAATTTGATTTACAACTAGAAATAATTTTTGAAAAAAAATCTATTACACTGTTAAGAAAGCAGAATTTATTTACTTGAAAAAATGTCCTGATAATGCATCATGTGTTTATTATTTAAATAATAAATTATAATCCTCAATTCATATGATGGTAGTATCACGTATATATATGAGTGCTAAAAGTATGATAATTTAGGGCAATTTGTGAGAAGCTCACATGGACTATTGTAAGAGAAACTGAACTTCTGTTGACTAAGGAAAGCAGGATTTGACAAACAGCTGAAAGTTTTCTAGTTCTGTTACAGAGATGTTGCTAACTAAGTTTTAATCAAGAACTAAAGGATCAAATCTATTTTCATGTATTTAAAGTGTCCTGGTTATATAAATTGAATTTGGTTGAAAGACTTAATACCTGTTGTGACAGAAGCTGAGCCTTTTGCAGAATATTGTTAGTAACTTAAGCCTTTTATCTAATTACACAGGACTAAACAGACTACCAGGAGTCTTAAGGGTTGCAATAAAGAGGAACAGGGACTGCAGGTCAGAGATGAAGCTGGCTGCAGAACAAGCATGTGTCTTGCTGAGGAAAACAGGCAGATGGACATGTTCTTCCGAAGGGGAGTGTTAGAAGACTGAAGTCTAGGGCTGTGGGAAGAGACAGGAGCAATAAAGGCTGGGAAAGATGCCTAGGTCTGCCATACGCGTACTGTGAACATGCTGAGTAGCAGCTCATTTAATGCTTAACTTGTCTCTGCCCCTCCTCAACGTGGACATCAGAAAGCACTCTGTTAGGGAGCACAGGGTGGAGCTGTAGACAATGGGTCCTGCCATTTCTGTAGCTGCTTAGGAAGAGCTCCACTGTGCCCTTCCATCCTTTATCCTCAAGGACTTCCAGTATACAGGTGAGTTCTCCACCAGGGGATTTTACACTATACATTTATAAGGGAAAGTGCTTAATAGAAGAATTGTTAAACTTCTGGGTATTAATTATCTCAACAGTCAGGAGCCTTTTTTGGTGGTGTTTTTTTGGTTGTTTTGGGGTTTTTTAAAAATGTTTGTTTTTACTGTACAGAAGGACAGAATTGAATAGGTTGGAATGGATGTCCTGAGATCATGTGGTCAACCTCTCTTACTCCTCAAACTGGGCTAATTTCAAAGTTGAGATCAGGTTTTTCACAGCTTTGTCAAGTTTTTACTGTCTCCATGATGGAGACTCTACAACATTGCTTGGTCCCTGTTCCAGTGCTCAACTACATTGCAAAGAATTTTTGCCTTGTGTCTAATCAGAATTCCCCTTGTTCTACCTCATGTCTATTGCTTCTTGCCGTTTTGTTGTGCACCACCAGGAACAGACTGGCTCCATCTTTTATACACCTATTTATCACCTATTTGTAGCTGAAGACAGCACTCAGACCCCTCTCCCCTCCTTAATCTTCTTGTCTTAAAACTGATCAAAACATTTTTTTTAGCATATCCTTATACAGCAGCTAGTAGGTATCAGCTATCTTGGTAGCACTCCACTGGACTCACTTCAGTATGCATGCCGTGTCTTGTACAGTGGAGGCCCAACCTGGACACAGTTCTGCAGATGCAGTCTCACAAGTGCCAAAACAGAGGGTGACAGTCGGTGCCCTCTGACTGCTGTGGCTCAGACTGTGGGTACCTTTCAGTACCCCAGGGGCCCCTTACTGACTGACATCCAGCTTGTCCACCAGCCCTTTCCCTGTGAAGTTGCTTTCTTGCCAATCAGCACCCAGCTTGGTCAATGACATAGGGTTATGCCTCCCTCCCAGGTGTAAGACTCTGCATTTGTCTTTGATGAACCCAGTGAGGTTCCTGTCAGCTCAATTTTCTAGCCTATTGAGCTCCCTCTGAAGGACAGCCCTGCTCCCTCTGTATCAATCGCCTCCCTACCCCGTTTGTTGCTATCCATGAATCTGCAACCCATCCCAACATCGAGGATGGTAATGAAACCCTTCAGCATTATTTGGCCCACTATTAACCCCTGAGGCATGTTACTAGTAACAACCAACCAACTGGGCCTCAAGCGGCCGACCTCAGCACTCTGAGCCCTGCTGTCGAGCTGATTTCCCACCCACCTCATAGTCCACACCTTGAATTCATCTCTCTCCAATTTATTGTAAGAATACAAAAACAGATGGTGTCAAAAACCTTGCTAAGGCCAAAGTAAACAACATGCACTGTTCTCTGGTCAGTACCTGAAGGCAGCCGTTTCATCACAGAAGCAGGTTGGTCAGGCAGTTTCCCCTTGGTGAATGCACACTGTCTGGACATGGCTTCTAGGACAGTTTGTTCCATAATCTGCCTGAGATTGAGGTTGGTCTGAGCAGCCTGTAGTTTCCTGGGTCTTTCTTGAAAATGGGCATTGCATTTGCCTTTTCTAGTCCTTAGAAACCCTGTACGCTGTTCGCTGTGATCTTTCATGGATGATAGAAGCCTTGTAATGATGTCAGCCTGCATCCTTGAATTGGGCCCAGCTTTTTCCATACTGGTATAGATTCAGGGTAAATAGCCCTTAACTCAGGCTTCCTCTTATGTGGGTAGTTCTTCACTCCCCAGACTCTGCCCAAAGATCTAAGCACAGACCTCTCCAGTTAAAACCTGAAGCAAAGGCAGCACCAAGTCTACCTTAGTCATTTCCATGTTCTTTGTCACTAGGTTACCCTCCCCATGTAGTGGTGCCCATATTTTACTCAGCCTTTCTTCCATGTTAACGTATAGGAAGTGTCCTTCACATCCCTCACTAATTCCAACTCCAGCCGAGCTTTGGCTTTCCTAGTTCTGCTTCAGCACGCCTAGGCAGCATTTCTGTATTCCTCCAGGGTAGCCCATCCCTGCTTCCACAGTCTGTATACTCACCTTTTGGATTTGATTTCAGTCAGGAGTTCCCCACTCAGCCATGCTGGCCTTCTCCCATGTCTGCTCAAGTTCCTGCATATCAGAATGGACAGTTCTTGTGCTTCAGCTGGCTGCCCTGGGCCCTTCAGGGCAGTCTTCTGTGGGATTCTGCCAATAAAATGTCTGCAGGAGTCAGTCTGGTCTCCTAAATTCCAGGGTTGCAATTCAACTATTTATCTTCCTCACTTCCCTCAGAATCTTAAGCTTTGCTATCTTGTAGTCACTGCTGCCAAGGCTGCCACCAGTGTCAATGTTCCCAGCCAGCCCTTCCTTATGTGTGAGTAACATGTCTAGCATAGCCAGACTCAGCTTGTTGAGCACTTCTGTCAAGAAATTGTCCTTGATGTACCACAGAAGTAGCCTGGATCACTTGGCCTCCACCATGTTGTCATCTGAGTCCCCTTCACAAGAACAAGAGCCTGCAGTCATAAGGCTAAGCTGTGAATGTTAGGGTTTTTTTAGTCAGCTGCAAAATAAAGACTAAACTTGCCCTCAAAAATCACATAATAGGAAAAATTAAACATTAGGAATTACAAAAATACTGCCAGTTACTGCTTTTGAGTCAGAGAGAAGTAAAAATAGGTCACAAAAAGGGTAGTTTAGTATCAGGAGACTTAGCTCTCTTACAGAACTGGCCACTTCCCAATTGACTGAAAACCCAAGAAATTGATTTCTTAGAACTATGGTGGGACTCTTTCTGAAGATAAAAGGAAAAAAGAAGTTACTTGGCAGGAGCCTTCATTCTTTGAGATACATAGTATATTTGTCTGTTTAAGGGTGGCTCTGAGCCCATAGCTCTTAAGACCACAGATGCTTTTATTCTAGCAGTATCTGTAGAGCGAGTTCACACTACACAGTGTGGTGGAGATCAGGGATCCATCTCCATCGCCTTAGTTTCTCTGACTAAGTCCAAAAAGAGACAGTTTTGAACAACAGAAAGGCTGGGCATGCAATTAGGAAGCATGATTATGCATCTCATGTTACGGATGAGTAACCTCTGTCTTCTCCCATGTTTAACTGTAAGTCTACATGTCTATTCCAACCGTAGCCACTTCAGTCAGTACCCTGTAAAAGCACAGTTACCAGGAAGAGGTCTTGGAGCACTTCCCGCTGTCAGCATTGCTCTGCCAAATCCAACACTTCTGGATGCATCAACATTTGGTGAAAATGAATGTCAATGTGGGTGGTTTCCCACAGGTGTCAAGAGTAGACATGCTCTTTATATAAGCTGCAATACTGCACGTGCTATAACAGAGAATGTGCTCATTACTGGGGATAGCAGATTTAGAAAATAATGCCATCTAGTCTGATGGCTAAAGTTAGCCATCTTTAGTGTAAAGATGTTTGTGACTCCAAGATTAACATCCTTGGAGAACATGTTAAGTGCTTGGTTTTGTGAATGTAAAAAGACAAGACTTAAGAGTGGACGGTAGTTTCTTTGCCTCATCCCATGCTGTCTTACAAACAAAGCAGGTAAACTGATTCAAAGGAGACTGTGTGGTGTATCTCAGGGAAAAATATGGGAAAAAAATCCAGTGAAATATCTATCTAGCAAAGACATAGTAGATAGAGTGAGACAGGCCCATAATAAGGTCTTGGGTGTACCAGCTCTGGGTGGGAGCTACCAAAAAAGCTGGTTAATGAGTAACATAACAACCAAACAATGAAGAGGGTCTGGTATTGGGAAAATACCCTAAGAAGGCCCTAGGGAGCATTTCTGAGAAAGTGACCCTACAAGATGGGTCCTTGAGAGAGAAATTAGATTGTGATTATTGGTTTCTTCACATATGGATCATAGGACAGGAGGGCTGTAGTCCAGCTTCCTGCTCAAAGCAGGGTCAGCTCTGAGGTCAGACCAGGTGGCTCAGACCATTATCTGATTTGGCTTTGAAAACCTCAAAAGTTGGAGATTGCACCTACCTCTCTAAGCAACTTGTTCTAACGCTTGACTGTCTCCATGGCAGGAAGGTTTTTCCTTGTATCCAGTCTGAACTTCCCTTTTAACAACTTATGTCCATTGTTTCTCACCCTCCCACCGTGCAGCACTGCAGAGCCTGGCTCTGATCTCCCAGTGACCTCCTCATAGATAGTGGCAGGCTGTTATTATGTCCCCTTAAGTCAGAACAAGTGGTGAGTTGGAGCCAGAGGTTCATTACGGTGCTGACCCATTTGCTTTGTGCTTCAACTTCTTTTTCCCTTTTCCTTTCTTGGGAATCTCATGAGGGATTCTGAAGACCAGTCTGGGCCCAAAGCCCTGGACAGAAGCTCGAGATGGAGAAGCTAGTATCTTTTAAGCTTCACTGGCATTTAACTGCAGGTGAAAGGAGTTCAGGACTGGAAGATCAGCAGTGGAAGTCATGGGAGTGAGCAGTCCAGTAATATGCCAGGGCAAAGTAGAAAATGCATTAGAGAATTGTCTGTTAGAGATGAAAGGCCCAACATAGGGTCTGATATGTACTCCAGGAGCAAACACGCACTCGGCTTCTTTTAGGTTAAGGAGCACAAACAGAGCATTTCCCTTGGAATGTTTGCTTTTCTTTGGAAGCATCCATGCTCAGGGTGTGAAGCTGCAGGCCTTAGAAGCACTCTGCAAAATAACACAAATAAAACCAGTCTTCTGCACCTTCTTGTGTCTCCTTGATAATAAAGCAGCAAGCACAGTGTGTTGGTATTAATGTTCAGGCTATGTGGTCCAAACATAAATCCTAAAGAGAATTAACAAGGAGTAACTCAAGGCAAGATTAAAATAAAAAAACCCATCTCAAAACAACAAGAGCAACCCACCCTCCCCCCAAAACCAAAAGAACCAACCCCAACCCCCCAAAAAGCCCACACCACAAATCCCCCACTGATTATGGGTCAAAATAAGAGAAAAGTAAAGAAAAAGGCAGGCAAATAGTTGCAATTTAAGAGCAGAGCTGACCAGACGGGAAAGTTTCTTGCATAGGGTGTTGAGAGTATCTTCAGAACTAAGGCGACAGGCCTATATATTCTGCATCAGTGGTGGGAAAGGCTAAAGGGCTGAGCCAAGTAATCCTTTTCCAGTGACGTGTCTGCTCACCTGTGACACAGCTCTCCAAACCAGCACTGAGTAAATTTGCCACTGGGAAGGGATGATGGTTTCTGTTTGCAGTGATGCTTACTCTGTCGCCATTTCCTCCTCTGCCTCAGTAGGGGCCAGGCTGGAAACCAGGACAGACACAGGACTCACAGGGTTGCGCTCATGAGTTCATCAGGTCATGCACTGCATTTATGACAACAGGCCTTTATACCTGTAGCATTCTGTAAATAGATTTTGTTCATGCTAGACAACTTTTCTAAAAAATTACTCTCTTGAGGTGTCACATCAAACACATTAGTAACTGCTTCAAGTTTATCAAACCCAGACTCAATTTCAGTGCTAAATTTTTCAGGTTTGGGAAATGCACAAAGGGGCAGCTGAATGTTGGGCACTATCTCGAGTCCCTGCTGGTGTCCCTAACCTCAAAAGTTCTCCTGATTCCTGATTGTGATTCCTGGCAACCTTCCCCTAAACTTCCCCCTTCTCCTTTCTGTAGGGAGAGCAGATCACACACCAGATCTAAGTATTTCTGCATGTCAGTCAAACAACAAAAAAACGCACAAAAGAATCCAGCCCGTGTCATCTGTGAGGCATTACAAAATGAGAACAAGAGCATGCAAACCATCTACCATGGATTCTCCAGTCGAAGGGCAAACGGACCTGCTGCTGAATTATCAGCTTTACCTTTCTTCTACTTAGGAAAGTATATTTTAAAAGAGGTCTGTACTTGTTTTGAGTAGTAGCTTTCAAAAGGTACTCAAGGAGCAAAGCAGCATAAAAATTTGCATGAAATAAACATTCTTGTGTTCTGAAGTCTGAATCTGTTGTATGAATCTCCTCCAAATACTTCTGGAATCACTAACTGGCATTTCTTCCAATTGTGAATCCTGACAGATTTGGAAGAGTAAAACTGATACTGGTTGCACACAGCAATGACTTTCTTCTAAAATAAATAGTTCTGTGGTAAACCCAGAAGCATAAAAATTACAGTGCAATGAATAAAAAAGTTACAGTGTGATCTGCTTCCCTCTGAAACTGGTGGTATTTAGAGCATGTTAGATAACACAAGCAAGAGTACTGCTACAAGAAAAATACTTGTATAACCAAAAAAAGGGTGGGGGAAACCAACTCCAAATAGACAATCAGTCTAACGAACCTGCAAGTGCTAAAAAAATTACAAAGATTGACATTTGGAAAATAAATTCAGTGGTCTTTGGCCTTTGCTGGCCATGAACAATGATGGCAAGCAACTAATAACTCATGGCTGTAACATTCCATTTCTTGACTGTAGCTTTAATTCCTAATGGCTGCCAGAAATAGCAAAGCATCTTACAAACACAGTGTCACTCTTCAGCCATACATAGGGACTACTCTATCAGATGAAACTTCACTATCTGCTGTTACTTCATGATGAGCCGTTTTTCTATACGGGAAAAGATAAACTCAGGATTAAAAAAAAGTTTTCAAAATATAAGCAGCTCAGACCAAGTACAAATTGTACAGTAAAGAGGAAGTCTGGGATTAACTTTTGCAACAGGTATCAGAAGATGCAAGACATGACACAAAAAGCTGTCTATCTAGAAGGTAAAATTTTCCTCCTCCAATCACTGCTTCCTGTAACACAGGCCAGCTTTTTATCTCCTCTGTCAGTTCTGAGTGTATGCATACAAAAATGCAGTTTGCAGTCCAAATTTTTTGCTTTTAAAAAAGATCATGCCATAATTGTGAGCATCTTCCCTACAGTATCGCCGAGACTGAGTTTCCAGATATTTCATAAAAGAAGCATAAAACTGTACATCTTCCCCAGATTTGCAGAAGAGGTTTGCTGCGAGAGAAAAAAACTGCAATCCTCTCTGCAGAGCTGACAAGCCAATGAACAATTTAAGTCTCATTTGATCTGTAACTGGAACAGGCTTTACACAGAACAAGAATCTTAATGCCTAGATAAAAGTTGCATTTTTAGTATTAACCATGATAAAAAGACTGGTTATAAATTTGTACTGCCCTCTGAAGCGAGAACTCCTAAATCTAGCAGCTGTGGCAAAGTTAATTCTTACACTGATAAGGAATGAGAAAATGCATTCAGCTAAGCAAAGGAATTTTAAAATGATTTATCAGTGCAAAAACCTCAGTAGCTGGTTGTCGCTCGTGTCCTGACATGTAAGCACAGAAATATTTTAGACATGAATGCCAAAAATAATCCCAGAGCAATTCAGCCCTGTACCGAGAGCTGAACAGATCTTTTGAACTACCGGTCGAATTCTCAGCGCTGGCTATCTGCACAGTGTATTTCAGCCTCTGGGAGGAAAAAGGGCAGTCCTGCAATAGAAACCATTTTTGCTTTGCAAAGATAAATAATGACAAAACCCACCTGTTTCTTACAAACATATAAATTATTTTATTTACAAAGCCATGTTACAAAAAAAAAATAATAATAAAGCAAAAAACAAAAAATACAATCGCTCACTAGAGAATATCTCCAGGCCCGGTGTTGAACCATGGCAGTATCAATCAGATACATGTTTGTTCTGTTTTTCCTTTTTTAAACTGTAAGCCATAGAATTTACTATTTACACCTACTTTAGACATTTATTCTGCTTACAATTATCACAAGCATGGAATGAATTCTATTTGATACTGCTAATACATAAAGGTGCAGGACAAAGAATGAAAATACTTAGTGTTACAAAATATGGATTGTAGAAAAGAAATTGGCTGTACAAGTATGGCATTTTTTTTTTCTTAGAATGATTGGACATGCTTTCTTCAAAAGTCTTCTGGAAAAGGTTCTAAAATCTGTAGTAGGAAAGCACAATATAGCAGGTGCAAATTCATTTCTGTGCAACAACAGTTATTTAATATATCCCATGACTGACCAGCTATGCAAAACCCACAGAGTTTTGTTAAAGTGCCATGGGTCAACAGCATAACAAAATATAAGGTGTAAATAGAAAAATTTCTTTTTTTCTTCTTTTTTTTTAAAACAATAGTTCACTGAGAATCAGCAATAATAGAATATGCTGTATAAACTATTCTCTACAAAGGTCGATCAGCACTATTTACAATTGTTACATCAATACAAAAGAAGGCATACAAGTTATCCAAGTCGCTTTTTATGGCTGACAGGCCTATGCATTGCGTATGTGTAACAACCAAAGCTTCTGAGCCTCTATTGCTGGAAACAAATCACAAGATTTTCAGGCAAATGGGGAAGAAAAAGAACTACTGAGTGAATGCTACACTAATAATGCATTATAGGCTGGTCCAGTTTGTATCCTTTTTTTCCAAATGTTTACTTCCATTTCACTTTTCAGGCTGAAATTTTTGATACATATAATTAAATAATGATTCTTTGATGATGAAGAACACTGTGGGATTTTACTTCGTGCATAACTTTCGTGAAATGCTGTCAGGTGTAAGCCAGTTGAAAAAAAAAAAATTTAAGCAGCATTCAAAGGACAGGCTCCATATTCCAGCTTTCCAATTAAAAGATGCATGGAAAGAGCTAAAGCTTCCTAAAACTACAAAATTGCTCCTTCAGACACAGATTAGCATTATTTCTCAGAAGCAACCACTGAATCTCACAACCACTGTTTTCCCTCAACAATTAGAAATAGCAGTTCATTGATTACAGAGGATGACTTTATTACTGAGATTTTTAAACTCCTGCAGTTTTATAACTCAAAATAAATTAAAAAAAAAATCAACATAGTACTGCTCCTAAAACTGAACAAGACAAAAATTGTGCAAAAATAACAAAGATATGTACACATTTTTCAGTCTGAAGAAATGTACAATAAAAACATAATTCAAAGAACATTTTAAAAATATAAACATTGCTTAAACTTTCCTAAGTTTCATACTGTTTCTGAAACTATACTGGTCAGTTAGCTCTGAAGTATAGCAAAACATAAATTATTACAAAATTAACACTATAAAAATTTTTATTTTAAGAATATTTCTAAACTTTTTTCAAAGGGTCTAGCCTTGTTTATAATTGCTTAAACATTTTTAGTCTTAAAATTTGCCTTAAGCCTTCTTTTTTTAAAAAAGAAAGTAGTAATAATCTCCCTATTTGCAGTCTCTCGCCTTTCCCCAAGATGTAAATAAACCAGCATATAAGTGCACTTTTAACACTGTAGAAATAAAAATTAACTCCTCTGTACTATTGTTCCAGTACCTAGTATTGGCTTCCTGATTATAAAATCTATATTTTATTAAAAAATTATTCAGTAATCCTATAAGAAACACTGTCAGTGCAATTCTATTAATGCAAGCCAATCTGCTCAACTCCTGTCCTTGCAAATCCAAACCATTTACTGAAGTTACCAAGTGCTATGATCTTAAGGGTCTAGAAATCCACCAAGATATGGGGATTTTACACGTTGAGCTCCTGATAACATTAATTACAGTTTGGTGCACAAATCCACTATGCATTGACTGAAGTATAGATTCCTTATGAGCCTGATCCTGGAAGAGGCTGAACACTCAGAATTCCCACTGAAATTATTAAATGCTGTAGGTACAGAGCACCAGTCAGGATTAGTCCCTAAAGTTGCAGTGCCCCAGCTGTTTGCAAAGTACTAAGAAATGCACTCAATTTTTATCCATAGGACAAGCTTAAATACAGAATTACTGTAATTTTTCTTTAATGAAAAAATTTGGATATCTTTTAAATAAATTCAAATCATGATCTGGATTTTTTTTGGAATGTCCGCTGTGTTCTGGTAAGGAAACAAAGGGAGCATTGCAATGCTAACAGCTTTAAAAGGCATGAAACATAACCAAGCAGAATGCACAGATCAGTGGCAAATACAAGTGAAAAACTAAACAAATCACTATTACAGTTTTCTGTAAATTTAATTTTCTTTAAAACCACAAATTCATAAAAGGTTAAATCCATCTGCAGGACATAGAAAAGAAAAACCCTGTGGAGTAGGGCTGCTGAGAGCTAGAGATTATAGGCTGGTTCCTTTTCCTTGTTATGGAAGAGTCCTTATTCTACCAGTCCGGTTTGATGTCTTCTAAAAGAGAAACCAGAGCCAGGTTCAAAATCACAAAATGTCTTTCAGTATATAATACTTCAATAACATCTGCGCCTGACAGAACTCAAAACAGGAATTTATTTCAAAGTCCCTGAACTAAATTCCCTCCCTGTTTACTGATTACGTTAGACCTTTAAGAAAATGAACTGCTTTGAATAGACAGCTGATTTCCTTTTGGCACTGTCTGATTTTAGTAAGCTTTGGTGAATCTCATGTTCATTAACTTGGTGTATCATTACAAATAAAGAGCAGCAATTAGACGACAACTCTGAAGAATCTTTTCCTCTACACAGCATGTTTTCATGCCCATGGAATCCCCACACAGCATACACGTCGTCACCTTCCCTTAATAAAATGATCTAGTTACTCAGTATTTAAAAACCACCGCATACTGAGGTCTTGAAGTGTTAACACATTCAGGCACCTAAAAGCACTATGAAGACAAAAACACTTGATTAGTTATAAACCTAGAACAAGGATAAAATCTGGAGAAAACAAGCTTTTAAATACATAATTTGTATTAACAGCACAAACAACTTGACTGTAAAACTACCATTCCATTAATGTTTGTTAAAAAATAAGTAGTTTTTGTAGAGAAAAGTAATATTTTTTTAATTAAACAGTTGGAAAAACAAGCACGCTTTTATGTATACAAGCCCCTGTTCAGGTCTAAAACAGATGTAGCAACATTCAAACTAAACAGGAATTGACAACAATCGTTTGAGGTTAATGCAATGGGGTAGAGCAGACAGGCCCCCAGCAGTTACCCTCACAGCCACCAGTCCCCCCAGGAGTACAGTGTACTTCAACAAACGTAGCGAATGGCCAAAAGAAACTACTTGTGGGAAATCAAAACAACCACAAGGCACCTTTATCTCACAGCGCAATAATGAGAACACCCCATTGTCGGTGGCGGGTGATGGTCCCAGCTCCCACTGGACACCTGGGAAGGTGAGCAGGGCAGCCAGCTTTCTGAGCAGGGCTGCGCCCGGGCGATGATCACGGGTCATGAGGCCGGGCTTACAGCCCACTGCAACTTCCCAAATGCCTCATTCTCACCCAGTCACTCAACCCGTGTTAAGGACCCCTCTCTCTCGACCCCTTCTCTTGAGAAACAACAACCTTCTCCCTTCTGGCTCCCCCTTCGCACCAGCAGACACCCCAACAGCTTGCCTGACCAGGTAACACTGGGGGCAGCCCAGAGTCACTGCTCTACACTCACATTTAGCTTGACCGCTGCAATTCTACTTCAAACGGCATTGTTAGAAGTCTGTTGTTCTGACTTGTATTCATGAAAACTTGCTGGATTTTTCCAACTATAAACCCCAGTGTATAGCAGAGATTGTCTCTGCCTGCAGACCTTGCTTCACTTGGGCTTCCTGATTATCATGGTTATAACAGTGCTAACATTAAAAACAAGAGCACTCAGGTTCCCCCAGTAATATTACGGACACAGCATGTGCTTGCGGATCCACTTATTGTTACCTAGTTAATAACACCTTTACAAGGAAATATTATAGCACAGTTTCAGACTAAAATTTTTTTAGAGACTATTCAGTTGCTATATGGGAAATGAAAGCTGTCCACAAAGCAGCTCAGACTTATTTTGACAGTGACAAGTATTTATTACATAGGTAATCACTATTCATGGTTCCAAACACTAAAATCCCGTGTTAGAGTTTTAAAAAAAGTTTAATAAAACTTAACACATCCTGATTTTCTTTTGTATTTGTATTCAGAGCTCCATACCCAACTACCAAACTGACAGAAACATATTTTTAACATTAAAGAGTTTGTGAGGCTTCAAAGAAGTGAATACTTCTATTCTTCATAAAGTTACGGAAACAGGCAGCTGAAAAGCTCAGCAGTAGCCTCTGTTTACATAAGGCTGCTGCAAAATTAATGTTTTGTACTGTTAGGTTTTCCCCATGGGATCTAGGCAACAGATCCCAACAAGCTCTGCTCCTCCTATAGTGTGTATTTTATACTAACACAGGAGCAAGAGGTTAAAGCAAAAACAGTTTTGCACTTCAGAGACGTTTTATCCCATGTTTGTTACTGGCAGTTGGATGACAGTGTCTCACCCAGGAAAACGCCAGTCCTTAGAAGTATGAAGAAACTTTCTATTTTTTCCCTTCAGAGCAGTTCTTCCATACAAATACTGGTTTGCATTTAGCACCAAGAGAAAAAAAAATTACTGTTTGGTGGATCTTCTCAAGATGTGAGTGATTCTGAATATTTTTAATGGGAACACAGTTATGGATTATCATGAATACAACCATTACTATTCTTCTGCTGTGTCTACACAGCAGAAACTAAGCAGCACGGCCATTTGGAATAACTGCTCCTGCATAATTTAGCCAGAATACGTAACAGGATTCTAAAATACTGACTGGGTCTACAGAAAAATCCTCTTGTATTTTTGTTTATTTGTGACTACACCTTGCTGAGGTGGGAAACTTTTTCATATCAAGGAGCTTGATAATTAATTCTGGATAAACTACTCAAGAGTGTCAGACAGTAGGGGCCATATTAAAAAAATAAACTAGTCTATCAGTCCTCCAGACAGATGAGGGCTAGATCACAGGTCACCTGTTCTAACAAAGCTGAGTTATGGAATTTATTAAAATTATTCAACTAGGAGTCTGTGTGATGAACAGGTATGGTGGGAGGGATAAGGATTTCTCACAGTCTAAGAACCCAGATTATGCTTATTTTAGTTATGCTTCCAGATTAGATTCTCTGAATAGTCAAGTGCTCTGTCTTCTCCATCCTCCCTTTGCTACTTTCATTTCTGGCCTATTTTTAAATGCTGTCCCTCCTATGCCACTCTGGGGACTCTGCTGTGCCATCATGCTCATCAGGGGGAGCTGGATGGAAAAACCACATTCTTAGCTGTATCCTGCACAGACAGTTGCTGCTGAGTTTGTATCACCAAAGCAACAGCCAGTGAGCAGCACATAAGCCAACCTGAGGCGTATTACAGGTGGTGAAAAACAAGCAGAAAACTTGTTGTTCAGAAATCTCAGAGGGAAAAATAACTGGAAAAAAATTAAGTGCGAGGAGAAATCTAATATTAGTTCACCGAAAGACAGCTTCTATAAAGAATTGTATTCATAAAGAAATTGTATTTTAAGGTTTTGCAGTATAAAATATTTCAAAACCACTTACAGACTAAAGTACACTTGTTTTTAAAGCAACTTACTTGTCTGTTGTGTACTGGGTTTGATGTACTCGAAGGACTGGATTGTGACAAAGCTACACTGCTATTTTTTCCAATCTGAAAGACATTAATTGAGCAGTATTGAGAGGCATATTTGTCAGTTGAATGCAGATGCTGGTAATGGCCTTCCCTTTCCTGTGTAAAGTGGCACTAATTGCCTTGCATTTGGAACACAGGTATTTTGCTATTGCAAAAGATACACTTCAGATACAATAATTTCTCAGAGCCTGTATACTTTAAATACACTCTTACAAGGCACATAAATACTATTACAGGTCAGAAAACAACATAAGAAACAGTTACTGAGGAAATAGAGACTGTAAACCCCTGTCTCCCTAGACTGAAATACTAGTCTCTCTAGTTACTGGAGTCACTCAGTGCAGATAGTCAGCAACTGAGAGCGCACAGAGTGCTCAACGTCACAGACTCCTCTCCAGGGGACCTTCCCCACTCCTGGGGAGTGTAAAGCAAGTGGCCAAGAACCACAGTATGCCTTGATTAATTTAATTTTCTTCCATATAGGGTCTTCATTTGTTATTGCTCAATAAAGCAAATATTAACCAGAAAAATCAAACTCCAGAAGTTTGAATTTGCAATTGTATCATTTTACTGCATCAGAGAATTTCTTTGGGAATGAGCGCAGATTGATAGTACACATAAATACATTTTAGAAGTACTTAGCTAAAATATTGCAATATTCAATCTGCATATTTCAATGTTTGAGACATTACAGCACTCCACAAGAGCAGTCTATCTTAGGTTGTATACAATGACCCATAAACATAGTGTAGATATTTCTGTTGCAATACAAAAGGGGAGACAGCTGTTGAGTCAAAGAAGTAGTTCTTCAAGGTTTGCAAGGCTGTTAAAAATTAACCATGGACACCTGCCTACAGATGGCAGATGACTGGAGTTTGAATAGTTATTCTCAAGGTCAATGGACTTCACGTAACATCAACTTTAATCATTTGATGGAGAGGTAGCAGGGACCTGTCTTCTAAACAGTGAGAAGTGCAGTTGCAAGTTTCTTACTGAATAGTTGGGACTGAGGCGTTGGCTGGCAAGGTTTCCACCAATGTCAGTTTTCTTCTTCCCTTCTGTGATATTGTTATTTCAGCCTTTCACGTATATAGTGAAAGGTAGCCTTTGTCTCCCTCTCCGTATCTGCCCTTTCTCACACAGTGACTGTTTAAAACAGTGTTCTCTGTTCACATTCTATCCAGAAGAAATGTTTAAAGTTTTTATTTACAGCCAATTCAGAAGGCAGGTCATGTGCTGCACAAAGATTAAAAGAGTAGGCCTCTGCCTACCCTGTTCCCTTTAGTGTGCTGTTCTGCATGACACAGCTGCTCTCTAGGTAGTAATGTGCTTTTCTTCAAAATAAAATTCTTGACTAAAGATAGACAACCCTGTAAAATCTTTCCTCACCATTCAGAACACCATGACATACCTGCAAACCTTTCTTCTCTACATCCACCATTATAACACTCCTAAAACCCTTCCATAATAAAATACATGTTCATCTTTTAAATGAAAAAATAGCCACTAGGAAATGGACTTGCTGAGGTCCTAGATTCATGAGAGGGATTATTACAGCTCTTTCAGCTTTCATTCATTCAGTGCTCCTGCGACTAACAGACTGACTTGCTACACAAGACAAAGCAAGGAGCAACGCAGCTGGCAGCACTGCGGTCGGCTTCAAGCTGCTCTACCATCCTGTCTTCATTCAGAGCTAAGGGCAGCACTCCAGGACAGAAAGGTAATTCCAACAGACTGGGCAGTGACAGCACTGGGTGAAAATAAGAAAAAAAGATTCCCACTTGTGTTGGGTCTTTAATGATGGGAACACCATTTCAAGGGCAAGACTCAAATACTTCCCCCCCCCTTCTAAAAATAAAGTCCACTTCAAAACCCAACGGCTGACACTTTCAGTTATTATCTATCCAGCCCAGACTTGAATTGAACTAGAAAAAAAACCCAACAACCTGAGCCTATCACCAGTCACTTGATCTTTTTTATGGGTTCTTGGTCTCTTAATTTAATTCACTCTATTACATCAGGGAACAGGAGCAAGATTTTAAGTAATACCCATTTTTTGGGTAGAATTTTTACCGCGATTGAATTTCTAGAACACAGCAAGTCAAAACAGCACAGCTTAAAAGTGATTTCAAGTACAATATTCTCCAGAGCTTTTATATTCACATGTAGAGTACGTAATATTATTTGACCCATATGCTTAAATGGGTACAAATTTAATCTATTTCTAGCACAAATAAACAGTGGGAAATGTCTGTTTGATATTGCATACAATTCGGTATCCTTGTCACATAGACAACTAGCTGCCAGCCAGACATCCAAAATAAAATCAACTCTCACTTTACCACCTATTTTTGATTACTTGTGTAGCTCCAAGCACCGGCAGTGTAAGAGAAAATTGTGACCAACTTTTACATATACACACACACACACACATATACATATATATATATATATGTGTATGTACCTGTGTATAAAAACATGTTCAAAAATCTGTATATCGTTACTCTCATTACATAAATTTAACCCTTTACTTAAGGAAAAAGAACCCAAACATTAGTGGGAATTAAATATTTTAAAATATTCAGAAAAGACCTCTGATTCTTTGTGGTTTATTACTGTGCAACATGTTGAAATACATCGCAGACTGGAACAGGAACGTCCCACAGGAACAGATTTAATCACTAAGAGAGTCAGAATTAGAACTCGGAACCTCTGTGTATATCTATAGGACTTCGTCAGACTGCACTAGCTACAGACACAGACTATGTACTGTGAGAAGATGATGCAATCAATTTCATACTACTAATGTTTGTACCAATTTTTTCTTCCCATTTGAGATCATATACCTCAGGGCAACTTCATCTTTTTGGGCATACACATATTTCAAAAATCAGATGTGTGACAGAATGAACAATTTACAGCATCCTCCACTGACTTTGGTGACTTAGAGATTAGTTCTGACTGCAGGACGCATTTAAAATGCTTAAAACAGACAGGCAATGCCACTACCCATTTTTAAAAGCCAAAAAAAGTAATCTTAGTTGCACCCCTGCTGGAAGTAGGAAAGAGAAAATATACCTGCTAAACCATTCTTTGAGACCTTCATTCTGTCTGCTATACCAGTTTTAGAATTAATTTATTCCTTTCTTCCATTTCCATTTCTGTCTGCTATTACCTATGGACTGCCTTGCCCAAGAACTTACCCTCTTCATTTCCAAATTCCATTTTACGAGCAATATCCTCAGGAAATGAGAGTTTCACAAACAAACAAAGAATCCTAAGCTACCTTCTCTGGATTTTCTGAGGTATTCTATTTTATATGGTTTTGTCTTCCAGATGCCAGGGCCAAGCTTTGTTTTCTGTACACTGCACAGGACATGGTAGCAGAATGAAACAGTCGATAACTATAAAGATCGCATTGTCATTTTTTCCACCAGATTTTACTTCACACACTTTTGTCATTATATAGCATTGCTAAAAGAGAAGTCAAAGGTCTAGTGCTAGTGACAATTAAGTAAGAGTGTGTAGCCTTATCTGTTGCACTGACTTCAATACTATGAACACATGCACACTAAAAAAAGACAACCAAATGTCCACTAAGGTCATCTGCTTAAGATTATAATTTCTTAATTTTTCCCATTTCAAACAGGAAACAGCATCTGAGGTGAGGCATCTCAGACTCTCCCCAGGGGAAAGGCAGATGTAGGCATTTTACATAAGAGAAATGAGCAGGCTTGCATAACATTACAAAATGAATCAGCAACAAGTTTGGGAAATGAAACAAACAGAAATGCTGACTCTTATCTTCCTGTTTTAATGACACAATTTATTTCAGAGAGATGAGAATTAAGATAAAAGATTAATTTCTGAAAATGATTGATCCGTTCTGGACACTCGATTTTACTTTCAGAGATACAAATGGCTACTTTATTAATTGAATAAAAAAATCTCATAAAACTATTTTAAGAAAGTAGATATATCTTTCTTTTTAAAAACTCTCAAAACTTCTTTCTATGATTGGTACAAAACAAATACAAATATGTTTCTGTATTAACCTAGAAAGTAAGCTGTGTGATGAAAAAACATCTGAAGCAAACATAGTATTTTCTTTACAGAATGCGTGAAATATTTCAAGTCAGTCAGACATGACCTGCAAAAAAATAACTGGAAGAGTCCCTTACCTGCCGAGAGATGGAGCTGCTTGTAGGATCTGGCACCGCAGAAATAAGGTTGGCAGTGCTCTTTCTATGAACACTATTCATACCAGGCATTTTAGTGATTTTACAGGCTTTGCTACTAGAACTAGAGTTTTTACGTTTTTTTCCTTCTGATTTGTCAAAAGAAAGGGGTAGAGAAGACACTGCATTATGCGCTCCCAGGGAGTGGTCCCCTGAGTGGTGCACAAGAGAAGATACAGACAGATTAGAAGAGTCAATACTGCTTACTACCATGCTCATATGTTTCACTGAGTCTGTTGAACTACTTGATAATGAAGTCCGTCCTGAGGGCTCCGATTTGGCACTGAGTGGGCTTGTTCCGTTATTTGTATTGTGCACAGACATACTGTTATAGGAAGATGTAGCTTGATAGGAGTTCAAAGTTGAACTGGGGTTCAGGACACAGTTCTTTTTGTGGGACCCTGAAAATGAAGATGAGGAAGATGTCTGCAAAGATAATGAGGACGATGATGACGATGATGACGACGACTGCGGCTTTTTCTTTTTGTTACTTGAAGACTCATCACTCCGAGATGACAGGTCTTTCACTTTTGAGGATTTGCTGGTTTTTGTTTTGGATGGTTTGTGGGATGGGGAAGGGATGACTGCTGGCACTGGTGACACAGCTGATGGCGCCTTAAAAGTTGAGTCCATGATACTTAGGCTTGCAGCCACATGAGGAAAAGCTGTAGTGTGTGACATAATGGAATTTGTATCTGACGTTGTCACAAAGGCTGCATTTGATAACATGGCTGATGTCATTATGTAAGAAGAAGTGATTCTTGAACTGATAGGTGTTGAAGGAATATACACCGTGCTGGGGTTGCTGAAAGGCTGTAAGACTGATGCTGGAAAAGGAGTGGAGACATGTGCTGCTGGAGAAGGCATGGGACTATCTGCCGCAGGAGGAATTTTCCTAAATAGAGAAGAAAGAAAAAAAAAAAAAAAAAAAAAAACATTAAAAATTCCATCCGAACAATGCAAAAAGGAAACAATTTCTGGGAAGGATTGACTTATTAAAAAAGGCAAAACCAGTTCATTCTGATTTTGACTCCTATTCCACCAATCACATATATTTTAACACTCACAGTTCAAAATCAGCTCTGCATTCTACAACAGCTTAAAAATGCTTTTACTTGTGATTTTTATTTTCCTCTTTTTAAACTTGCAATTCCTGTATGAAGTTCTTTGGGATTTAATACAAAAAGCAAAACCCAAACCACATGTGTTTTAATATTGTAAAGATTTGGGAACGCTGGACTATGAAGTATATTTTCCTAAAAATTTATTTTGAAATGAAGCACATTAAATCTGTGAAGGCAGCAGAGATCTAACAGAAGATTATTAGGAAAGAACTATGCAGCATAATTTTCCCTATAAAATTCTGTCATGGCACATGAGCCCTAAATTGTGTAACTTGGTTAAATCAGAACTGAGCTCCACTTCAGCACAAGTGCCTCATGTAGCAATTAAGTTCACAGTGTCACAATTTAATTACTGTATTACAAATTTAATTTCCTTTTTTCCTCTCCTATTTTAGCAAACAATTAAAAAATGCCAATAAAAATGCCTGATGGTGGTATCTATAAACATTCTAGTCCCTATGTTTCATTCACTGCATATGTTCTGCTTGAAAGTTCAAGTTGTGGAACAGATTCAGTATCAACTTAAACTCACAGGTTAGATCTGATGAGGGTAGTACTTGAGCCAGTCTGGGGGGTTGTGAAGCATTTAATCACTGACCTTAAAGAGGAAAGGAGGAAAGCTCATTCCTTTCCAAATGAGTGCTATTCCCCACAGCTCATTTGAGAGCTGGTTAGATGGGGTTAACTAGCTAAGTTATTGATTAATTTCATTGACATTGAAAAACTGACAACACATTAAATAATGCTTGATAAGCTTTATAACTAGTTGAATATTATTCTGAGAATAAAATCTAATAATATTACCTATGAAATTAGTATAATGTATTCAAATTCCTTTCTGTTCAGCCATTATCTTCTATTATTTTATGTGGTCCAGTGTTAAGAAAGAACCAGTCTTCCATAATGTCTCTTGGAAAATTATGTGAGTTTTTCTCATTATTTAGACTAAAATTTAATTCACAGTTTAATCCTATTTCGCTTTGTTAAGAAGCTGTACCTCACCATAACTCTGCTCTTGTTATCCTCACTACTGACACCTTTTTCAGTTTTTAAAGGCTTATTCTTGCCCTCAAAGAAGTATGATAAAAGAGCAGCACTGGGTGTGCTGTTTTATCATAAATCAAATCCTAATTACAAGTGTTCTCTCCTGGTATTCTTCCTATGGAGACTGTCAGACAGGAGACTGTTTATAGCACCATTACATAAGGGATTACATACAGTCCATGTCACCAAAAATGAGGAAGTCCTACTGCCTGTGACTTGCTACGCAAACAAAGCTGCTTATCAGATATGCTCCTCAGATTAATTTAAAGAAGGGCAAATAATTCTTACCCACCTTTGTAAAGTATTTTGAGAACTAGGGATAAAAAGTACTTTGTAAATGTTATTACTGTTCTCAAAATATGGCCTTGCATCCTTTTTGTCTCAGCTGGATGAGGCATGGCTACAGAGCTGCGCTAGCTCCTGTTATAAAAGAACAGCTTTACGCATACCCCTGCTCAGGGAAGACAGGAAGAGATCAGTCCAGAGCAGCGTTGAGGACAACAGAAGAATACAATAGGGGTTAAGCACTGTGAGCTTCCTGTGTTACACAGATAAGTAAGTACGGACGGAATTCATTAAAATATTAGAGATTACATAAACAGCTAGAATTTTGGAAAACGTTTACAATTGGATTTAGTGGGAGCAGGATGAGGCCTGTTTATTTCTTGTATCATATAACTACCATAGAGGTTATTTTTGGTTTTTGTGATAGTAGTGGTACTAGTGACATAATTTCTCAGATGCCCGAGTATCTTTTCTCCTGACAAACAAAGCCAATAGATAACAAGTTTTAATCTTCCTATTGAGGAACCAAAATCAGTTTTATTTGTGGAAGGTGACAGACACTGGTTAACAGCCAAATTTACCAAGTAGAAGAGAGGAATCCCTTGCAGATCAAGCATGATCCATCTCTAAACAGACATGAAACTGGCCCTTACGGCAAACCCAACCACTTCCAAACTATGTCTCCCAGCACAGTAGCACTGTTATCATCAAGTTACCAGGTTAGTCAGACAAGCCAAGCTTTAGTGTTTAAAAAATATATTTAAATAAAAATCAAACCTTGTTTATCTAATGGCTGGCATCCAATGAATATAACACAGTCCTGATAATAAACAGTGATATGAAACACTGGACTTTAGTGTCATTACATTGGAAGAATGCATATGCTGTAGCAGAATACCCCCCCAAAAAATCAATCTCATCTGCAGATGCCACGAGCTTTTCAAATACCTAATTTTTAAAAAAGAAATAGCACCTTTTTTTTTTTTTAGAAGTGCAGTCTATTTGAATGTATCTGTGTAGCCAAAGCCTACAGTGCTTGCAATCTGTGTATGTGATATAGAGGTGCTTTGATAGTCACTAATAATCAGAATTTTAAGACCCCAAAGCCAGTACGGGCATTATGGACTAAAAAAATATCATATTCCATCATGCACAGGATGTGTACTGAGCTCCTTATCTTACAACATGAGTCTTACAGAGCTAAGTCTGAATGGGTGATATAGGTGCATGATACAGGTATAAAAACCTATGCAAAATCTAACCTGTGTGTTATAAAATGATATGATATCAAAACATATCTCCAAACCCAGAAAACACCGAGCTTTAATGCTTTTAGGTAATGTTAACAGAACTACTGAATTATTCCTCCCCAGATTCAGAGGGACTAAAAAGAAGTCCTAAATCTGGCAGAAATTTATGCCAGGAGACTGTTTTTGTTGTGCTGCATATTCCTTAAGAGAGAAGAAAAAATTTGTACTCATATTACTGCTATGCCTTAATACAGAGGTAATTTTACGAATGCTTCCTATGGAGTGTTTAATTTAGAACTTTTACAGAATTAAAAATGTTAAACCACCCACTAAGTGTAAAAATCCCACTTACTTCCACATCTGTGAGTTCAAGTGTTTTTCTACCATGGAGTTTAGTGCGAATCGAAAATGGTCCCATCTTCTATCAAAGACATAGTACCCTCTTCCCATTAAGCGACTGCCATATGAACAAAACTGAAAGAAAAGATATTTCAACGGTATTTATAAAGAATATTTCTACATTATAAAACGATCATCATTTATAGGTCAAGAAACACCTTTGTAATTTGTATCATGCATATAAAACACCTTAAAAAAGTTGTTTTTTGCTTTCTACAGCATAAATACTTTTTGCATGATATATGAAATACGTACATAATGTTTCATCTTAGTGTAAAGTATAATTTATATTTCACTAACAAGTCAGTTTACTATCAGGTAAACTGGTTCATTGTCACCTATGTGTGACAGGGGAAGGATATAAATGCTAAAGTACTGTTAAGGAAACAGGTTCTGGGTAATAATACTCTTACTGCCTCAGAAAGACAAGTTACACCATTCTGTGCACATTAAACCTTGTAATTGTGTAACAGGTATAAAAATATAACTAAGCATGAAAAAGGTGCAATGGGAGCATCTTTATTATCTATTTAATAAACAAACAAACCAGTGACATCTCAGAAAAAAAAAAAAAAATCATCCATGGCACCTGCGCTACAACAGAACACTGGATACACTCTTCATAGTGTATGAAAATCATCTAGAGGAGTAGTAAATATTTAAAGAATTCTGCAGAGCTCAGGAGTATTTGCACTGCTTCCTCTGAAGAACTTCCTGAAAAGTCCTACTACACTGAAATGGTATGATCAGGAATCTACTCTTTCTTCAGTTCAGTCTTACTGATCTCACATTACGTAGAGAACTGCCGCAACACCTATCTGTGGGAGAGAAACCTGTTATAAATCATCTTTAGAAAACAAGACGGTCCCTGCATGATGGAGAGCTAATTCACACAAATTCTGACTGAGAGCAGAAGCTACTGATGCAGTAGAAAAATATCCATTTAAAGTACTTTTCAGCTTAACAGACAGTGAGTGGCAACCGTAACTGTTTATCTTGTCTGTTTCAGGACAAGGTTAACCTGGTTAATGAAAACCACCACATAAGTTGATAAACTGGCCTCACCTCCCAGTGACACAGATCAGTTACTGCTAAGAGGTAGTTAAAAAAGCTACCACCTTTTCCCCATCAATTACAACCACCTAGCTGGGAGAGGGACTTTGTAAAGAAAGTCCACTTCAGTATGAAATTTAGCAAGTTAGCATGAACTGGGCTGAAGGCAATTTACACCATCTTTTTTGACTTCACGTTGATGTGGACTAAGAACAGTTGCTCTATCAGGAACTGCTTCAACTGAGAGACGCTAAGGTTTCAAAGACCAGATTACGCAGTGGGATTTGCCTTGAAACAGAACTAGGATCCTAAAACAAGATGGCTATGGACAGCCATGCCTCATTGACAGTGCCTGTACAAGAACCGGCTCCACTTAGATTATTTTTAAAATTGTATGGAGACACATGCAGTGAGCTTTTAGGTTTTAATTCATAAAGCAGTCCGCAAAACAAAGTGGAACACAAGAGTACCAAAGAAGCAGGATGTTCCTGCATATCAGAATATTATATGGACTATAATAGTTCTTATTTTCTGTGTAAGAATCAAACCCAGAATTTCACCTGACGGTCATTTTATGTTTGGCTTATACTTTTTCCTGGTGTCTGACAATAAAAAGTTCTCCTTTGCTCTAGGGAATATAGACAGTGATACAGTTACCACAGTGTTTGTTTTATTCTGCATATCATATGGAAAAAACAGAAGTGAAGTCTTCATTAATTTTATTCCTTGGCTCAATTTTGATGAGAACCAACTGCTTAGAAGTTTGAGAGTTCTCCCACTGCTTCTCGCTTTGTACAGTGTAAACAAATTCACATTGCAGAGACAATGCCACAATGCAACTCTTACTACTTACAATGAACTTTCTAACACAGGAGAAAGACAAAAACAGCTGCCAGAGAAGTACATACTTAAGCCACCACCAGAGCAGATGGGCTATGCTGTGCTCTAGACTTTCCATTTTCAGATGAATGAAGCAATAGCTTCTAAGTCCACATACACTCACATAAATGATATTTAATTACTGCTTCAACTAGACTACAAAAATCAACAAAGCACTGTAATAGCCCTTTGCTGCTGTGTGATTTTCAGAGCTATAACCAACTGCAAGATCCTGTTTCATAAGAACTATGACAAAGACATTATCTGTTCATGTCACATTTAAAACAATGCAACTTTCCTCAATTTAGCAGAATTACATCGAGTTGCAGTCTACTGAGAAGAAAATCTAAAACTGGAACTTCTGATTTTCTGCTGCTCATCTTGTCCTGCAGCCTATGCACTGACCAGTCTTCTCCTCCTACATCATCTCATCCATACCACTTCCTGTTAAATAATCTCTTTAGAATACAGTTTTCAGAATTTAAGGTCCTCATTCCTTACATTTTGACTAACTTATTTTTTCTCCCCTCTAATTACATGAGAATAATGACAAGGCATGCCAGAGACAGACACATACCCCAAGAGGTCTGGGATGGTGTCCAGAAAAATGACAGTCTAATTTCTCAGATTCTTCAGCTCCATCCGCTTCTCCTTCATCACTGGACAATCTGCTCGTTAAATCTCCTCCCATGGAAGGCAGTGGCAGTTCTGGTACGTACCCACTGTGGTTTGAAGAACTGTTGCTGTTTATGCTATTTGCAGATGATGGTCTAGAAGGAGAATATACATTTAAATCATCAGTGTTCAAAGTCTCTGCAAACCTATCTGATGGAGTCAAGCATCAAAGTAAACTATACCAGAAATGATCAGATAAAGAAGGACAGTAAAAGATACAGAATAGCTGACATTTGGTCCTGTCAGAGACGTATCATGGGTTATCAAGTTAATGTTAGCAGAAACACCTTTATATTTCCTGAAATTTTAAATTTGCCAAGACGTTGAGTTTCAGATCTTAAGAGATAAAGAATACTAAAAATGCAAACAAAAATCAGATGCGCAAAATCTTACATTGCACCATTACTCTGCTATTTGATTAATCCCAAGGGTCCAGTCATGAAATTCTATTTCATACCAAAATCCTAGTGAAATATAACCAGAGTGTTTACCTGACACCCTCTACAGCTACTAGGTACCTACAGTAACTAGGAGGACCTCTTGCAGTACATAGGTTTTCTTTACCTTTGTCTAAAATCCAATAAAAAATGGGAATGCCTTTGCACTACAGGGCGCGATGGTGCCATGCCTTCAAAGGCCGCTTGGAAACAGAATAGAAGTCAGGGTGGAAAAGGATTCTCAATTACAATCTGTACAACCAAGAATGTATGTGGACCTCTGAGGCTGGAGGAGATGTCTGCGTTGAGCAAAATCTAAAGACCTTCAATCTCATAAATTCATGCTGTCAGGACACAGCAGTCATTAAGACTGTGGACAGGTGCCCTCTTCTGAACTGAGCAGGGATTGCTCACCAATGTCCATCAGCCAGAAATAATTGCTGCAGTTGCTGATGCGAGGGACAGATTGTGTGAATGCTCCTTAGCCTCCAGGAAGAGTCAGCCAGGTCACCATCAGTGAAACCATCAAGCTTTGCCTCAGCAGAGCAGGGAGCACTCACATAACCTCTTCCAGCAGCAGTGCTGCAGGCTTGCTGGCTCCCAGCAGAGAGAAAGCAAGGCTTTCCTCTGGCACGGCTACTTGAAAAACAGACAAGACGGCAGAACAGAGGCACTGCAGCAGAAACAGAAATGTAGATTGTACAAACACAATGTATGACTGCTGAAATCCTCCTCCTCATGTACCACTACGTTCGCTATTTCTTCAGCTGGCTCTCACTGAATCGCATTCCAGTTTTCCTTCTTTGACTATAACACCTACTAAAAACAATGTCTGCCCATCCCTCTGTGCTCCTCTCTATGTAAGAACTGTGTAAGGTCACTCCTTTTACTAGAATTATGCAGAGTTCTCACCAATTTATCTATGGGTATTCTTTCGTTGTCTTTTCACTCAAACCCTGTAAGGCCCAGCTCTGCCTTGTATGAATAAAATTTCGTTATGGCTTGATGAACACACAGAAAACATTTGAAATGGCTGTCTCTGTAAGACTTGAGATGGCAAATATATCTTTGAGATACCTTACTATCTTACTACAAAAGCCCCCAAATGGGCACCCAATCCTGACCAAGGCTTCTACAAAGAAAAGAAATATGAAACAAAGTAAGTATGAACAAACCCAATTAGTTTAGCTTTATCTACTCCAGCCAAAACTAGTACCCCCAAACAAACAAAACATATGGGAAATTTACTAGAGGATAATTAGAATACAGTAGATCCAACACTTCATACTAGTTTTTTTTAAAGGGATGTCTTTAGAAGTCTGCATTGTCTTTCTGAAGACTGTTTTAGTCCTCTCTAAGAAAAATCTTCAAAATGAGGGAAGACATGCTATGGACAGTTTCAAATCAATAGTTTTAAGAATTTGCTGCTTAGATTCTCATTTACACTAAAATGCACCTTCTTTTACAAGATATTTCATTGATTTAATTGGTGAAGTATTTGCAGAGAAGAATTCTACATGAAGGTGCAGAATTTCACCACTGACACATACCCCTGATTCATGTAAAGAGACTTTTACTCCCAAATGTGCCAGAAAGACCTGAATGTAAGCTTTCCTAATTATTACTGACCATTTTAGTCAAAAAATGCAATTACTCTGAGATTCCGAGCCAAGGGTGGACACCACTTCATGCCTCATTTCCAATCAGACCACAGGTTACCATGGACAGACTTAGGTTAATGTAAGCATAGTCTATCTTCTACTGCTAGCAGAAACTCTTGTATTAATATGTTTTATCATGCAATATATTAAAGAAGTACCAAGTGATTATAAAATAAGCTGTATGAAAGACTAAGTCATTTCTTAGAGCACCTTCAGAATGCAACATTCCATGCTGGAGAACTGCTTACCTTGGAAGTACAGAATTTGGTGGTCTAGATTTTGCAGGAGATGTTACTTTAGATTCTTGACCAGAGTTCACTGAAGATCCTGACAGAGAGTCTTGTGCTGGTGTGGGCTGGCTCTGATAGCTTTCCCTTGCAGATGGTGGATGCTCTTTGTCTTTTGCAACTTCTTTTTCCCTGGATCGAGCTTTGTGTTCAGCTAGAAGGATGTCAAACTGTTTTTTACGGCCTGGAACTGCTCGTCGATGATTAAGTGAATGAGTCTAAAAATAGGGTGGTTAAAAAGCATTTGTGTGTGCATGACATTGTTTATGAGTCCTCTATACTTCCGATACACCACAACTCTAAAAGATAAAATCTACTTCAAACAACTTTAGCCACAGTTATGGAAATAAAGCTGTTATTCCACATTATCTTTGATAATTTATGAAGTAATTCTTAAGGAGTGCCAACATCAAGGCTAAAATTACTTTTTGCAACAATGTTCATATAATAGAGTCTATTGACTTACCTTTTCCAAGACAGAAAATATAATTCCAATAATTTTAAAATATTAAGAAGTAACATCATTGTAGCTCTTAACTTACAATGAAAAATTGATTTCATTGGATTGAAAAATGTGAATACATTGTAAAGTAAATTTAACTGATCATCTCTACTGACAGGCAGCACATACACATACAAATGTTCATTATAAATGTCTTACATTGCTGCTACTTTTTGACACGAGACATTACTATCATAAGGGCAGCCTCCAAGTAATTTATTATACAAAAATCATGTTAATTTTTTACTAAATTTGACTATACTTCAACATTGTTGCACATGTGAACCAAAAAAAGGAGCATTTAAAATAACAGTTGTGCTTCTACATGAAACGTTAATGATTTTTGCATAACAAAATGACAAGAAAAAAAAAAATCTTTTTAGAAATATTAGTGGTATAATGCAGATGCTCTGATTCAAAGAAACAGAATTACTCAAAAGAATTACCTGAAGACAGCGTCTGAATACCATACCCATTGTCTGTAAGACAGGAGCAGGTATGACCTCTCAAACTACTGTGGTAGGATTTAAACTATAACAAAGCATCTGATATTTTATCTTCTAAGAAAAATACCTTGCAGGTGAGCGATCTTGTGCAAGGTTTCTTTGTTTCAGGATCCAGTACTCCACAGTGTTTATTTGGGTCAAATTCTCTTTCTGTTTGATGGGGGGGGGTAGGTAGAAAAAGGAGAAAAAATAGATTATTACAGAAATTTTAACAAGAGTAGCTATAATTTTTGCCTGATAGAGCTTAATTCAACCAGGCTCAACCTGAACGACTGATCCCATCCCCAGCATCCTCTAATAGTGCCACATGCATCACTCATGCAGTTGTGCATTTTTTGTCCTTATGTGTTTCAAACTATTTAGGGCAGGATTTCAGTCACAGACTTCATCAAAGTAAGTCTGCTTACAGTGCTGTACTCAGAGTGGCCCAAACATAGGACCAAGCCAAATACCCACAAGTTCAATTCCCTCTCTAACACTGGCTGCCTCCGAGGACATGAAATACAGCATTTGCAAATCTAGCTTCTGACTTTGGCTAAGACACATATAGACTAAATATCACAAGAGCTTTGAACCACATTTCTTTGACATACTCAGAAAATCTGAAAAAACAACCCACGGTTTCTCAGAAGCTAATACAAGTTTCAGAGGGGCATTTTGAGAGCAAAATTTGTTAAATCTGTCCCCTAAATCTGTGTAAAAAATGTGCATTATTTCCCTAAGTGAAGAAAGGCATGGAGTTTAAAGTTTGCAGAGATTATGAAAAAAAAAGGCATTTACATGAGTTCTACTCATGATTAACATTAAAAGTGCATTAATATTTAATAAGCTGTATTTGCATATTTTATTTTCATTAATATTTTAGTATTTATAAACCACAGAAAGCATCACCTCCTTTAGGTTATGATATTATAATTTTAGGGCTTATATTACAGAGCTGTAACAAAACTATGGACATAAACTTTTAAGTTTATGCCACCAAAAATCTACCATTATCTTTATATACCTTGACATCATATGTTTTAATGTGCAGACTGGTTTGCTTTCATTTGATAGAGGAATATAAACTATTTGCCAAGGCCTATTTCACTATACAGTAGTGTTACATTCAGATATAATAAACATCCTGTACTCAAATACAACATTTAATCCAGGGATCTAAAAATTCTTTATAAACAAACAAATCAGAGCGAAGACGAAGGCAGCAATTCACAGCTATGTTATGACAGCATCCCAGTGAGTAGAACAGCTGGAAGAAACATGAAACTAAGTAGCCTATGTCAGACAACAACTGTTGTCCAGATATCACAATTACTAGCAGTTTTATGTATTCTGCTATATGGGCTTAAAAGTGATAAACCAAACATTAAATGGTTATGTTATCAACCTGTTAGCAGAGACATACCAAAAAGTGAGCTTGGAAAAAACAGTTGGCACTGCTTTTCTGGTGAAATCTACAAAGGGACTGAATCTGTCACAAGCAGTTGTGATTTCTGTGGCCATTACAGCACAAAAAAGAAAACCAACCTAAAGTTGCTGTGTATGGCTAAATATAATAAACATTTTTCCATACTTAATGGATGATAATGCATGTTCATGAACTAAAGCAGTTAATTGCTCCTGGTTTTTGAGTATATGATGTTCCTATCACAGTTTCCTGAATCACCTGCCTAAAAACCTTCAACACAAAAAACAAATTAAAGAGACTATATGGACTTATAAATATGCCTTCAAATGCAAAATCCTGAGGGTAATCACAAGGCTGTGGAATGTGTTCTGAAAGTCACCATGAGAGGATGGGTTTGGACCAACAGGAAAGTATACTTCAAAAATTGTAAGTGCTGCCTTTGGGAGTATCCAGATCGCTGGATGTCAATGAGTGTCCCAACCAATCAGGACCAATTACAGCAAAGGTAGTTACTAGGAAAACATACAGAGGTAAAATCAACACAGGGAATTATAGTCAGAAAAAGTGGAAACCTCCAGCATCTACTGAACAACAAAATAGCATGCTTTCCCTGAGAAACAGAAAATACTAAACAAACAGAAAACCACTTCTCCTGGCTGAAGAGTGTGTGGCTGTTCCAGAGAAATCATGGACATCTAATCGCCAGCTACAGATGTGCCTGGTTTGGGCAATACATTAAATGAATTATCACCGTCTTACCAATAACAAAAAGCAGCTTCTCACTACCTCTGTTGGGAAACAATGAGAAGCCCTAGACTCTTGTGCAATGAGAAGCCCTAGACTCTTGTGCACAAGCACAACTTCAGAAAGCTGTTTCTCTGGAACAGATTCCATATCTTCGTGTTCAGTGGATGAAGTTAAGAGCATTCATTATAGCCTCACTGAAAGAAGAGGAAAGGCCAAAACTGAATAGTCTCAAACTCCTGTTTGCAACAGAACAGATATTCTTGGTGTAAACTGGGCATCTGCATTCTTTAACTTAATCCCAAAGAGAACAAGAACTAAGGAAGATTTAGGAAAAAAATTTTTTTGCTATTAGGGAACACTGATACATTTATGCTGGGCAGCTACAGACTGTCTTTTGTGGTTCCACAAGCTGTTTGCTCTCTCTCACCGATGACAGTGCTCCTGAAAAGAGGGCAGGTTCATTCATCACCCAAACAACCACCAGCTCTCAGCAGAGAAAAAAACCTCTAGCCACAGTCAGGGAAATGGTGTGAGAGAGCGTGGAAGTTGCTAAAAATGAAAGAAAACAGATGTAAGCTGGCCAGACCTATTAAGAAGCTTCCAAAATTAACAGCTGTACAGTTTCATAGCAGCGAATTGAGGGACACCTAAATCCCCTAGCCACTGTCTCATTCTTTTAATGGGAAATGAATGAAATTTATGTGATAGCTAAAATAATCACCCCATTGACCTTCCAAGATATTTTTCTCAATCTTTGCACAGTTCTGTATAATAATGGAAAGGAATCCATCACAGTGACACAAAATCTACAGGCAATTAATCTACAGTGCTGTCGGGACTTCTATTTGCATCATCACTAAACTACTGCATTGCTGCATCAATACACGAGGCAGAAGAAGCAAGACTGATCAGATTCTAAATCTGATAATGACAGAGAAGCTTTAAAAAAGAATCAATTCTGAGGATTTGTTAACCATATAAAAGTAAACTAATGCCTATCAGAGTGCTCAAACAGTCCTGTGCAGAGATTTCCACCAGTGAAACATTCCCTAGACTAGAAGACACTGTGAAAGGTTCAAGACAGAAGAGCGATAGTCACCTGCACAGAAAAAGCAAGCAAATTCAAGGAAAGCCCTATAGAAATGATTCTCCTTTATGAACACATTTCAGGAAGCACCTGTACAAAGAAGGTACAAGTATTACCTACATCCCCACAGTGGTACGTGGTGACACGAGGAAAACAAGCATCTCAAATAATATCAGTTTCAACTGCCCAAGTAGGAATTCAGAATTGATTAGCTAAATTAAGCATCTAAACCATTAAAGGAAATAATAGGTTAAAAGAAACCAATATTTTAAATTAACTGCAAAATATATGTAGAGTTTTTATTAGGATAACAAATTGGATCTTTGCAAGTGAAATAAGGTGTAAAAGCCTAATCAGCTACTTTCTCATAATACTTTTTTGGTTTGTGGTTCTGTTTTTTTATATATCACCTTTAACTAGTTAAGAAAGCAATCAGGGTACCGAGCCCTTTAAGGCGATGGCGTTGTTCCATACCCCACACAGCCCTAGCAAACACCTCACACTGGTCTGGAATCAAGCCAAGGTGGCAGTACCATAGGCTAACTGCCAAATTTGAGAAAATGAAAAAAATAAACCTGATATTCAGTCAAAAAATAGGGAACACTCATTAACTGGAAATTAAAGCATTTATCTTGTACAACTTCTACTTGGTTCATAACTAGTGAACATTTAGAAATCATGTGAACTAACTTTCTGCCAAACTGACGACCTAACACGCATCATACTGCCATTAGCAAAATTAGCCTTTCAGTACACACAAGAAGTTCCTGCCCAAATCACAAAGTACTGCCAGCTGATGAATAGACCCTATACAGCTTCTGAAGCCATAAACTTGAGTCAGTTACTTTTGCTTTAAAAAAAAAAAAAAAATCCTCAAAACACTTGGTATCCTTTCATTCAGAACAAAAATGTGTTTTCAGCTTTAGGGGGCAAATTCTCTACTCACTGCCCAATGGCTGACATGGGTCACTGCTAGGGAACTCCACAGAAAAGAATTCTTCCTCCCAATGGATGGCAACCTTTCTAACAGAGCCTCTGCCCTCCCATGATGGGGCATTCTGTGCTTCGGTGGCAGATTTGCACAGGGACCTACATCTTCAATACAGCTCTGCCTATGGCCATCCAGGGCATTTCCACATTAAATGTCACTCCCACAACCCCACCGTCCTGTGTTCCTGAGAAAGATCAAGACACTACAAATTTCTTCACATGCTACACACACACACACACTCATGTGAATCGCAAGGGCAGAGGGATGGAGGGAAATTATTACTTTTAAGACTTCCCCAGCATTTCCCATATCATCTTAGAATTTTCTATTATTTAAATCCAAGAAAGAAGATTCTTTAAAAAGTCATGACTTGGTTATCCACCAAGTTGACACCTTAAACCTCAATTTTCAACATGGCTATACCAAAGTCACCCAAACAAGGCACATTTTCTTTTGTTGCAAACAGACCGAAATTACGTAATAGCGCGAGGAAGCCTTCTGCCTTTCTGTTTTAATTAATTTACTTCCTTAAAAATTTATATTTGGCCTGTTGACCAGTTGAGAAACGCATTAAACAGTCTAACTTCAAGATAAACAGAATGTGTACTTTGAAAATATTTTACATGTGCTAAGAGCATGAAAGCTTTCTTTTTCTTATATGCAAACTGGCATCTTACAGTAAAAAAGAAAAAAAGAAAAAAAAAATCAAACCAAAACCAGGTTACAGCATTTTATTAGTACTTTATTTCTGAGTTATAGAAATATTAATGAAGATAGACAGACTATCTCAAAGATGAACTACAACATCACTCACCTGAAAGTCTTTTGTAAGGCTTGTTACTGCTTTTAGTGCCATTTTGGTGTTTCTTGTCTATTGATGGAGCTACAATTCCTTTGCCGTTCAGAATCTTTTCTGGTGACGGTGGCACTGACTTGGATGTCAAACCAGATTTAACCAAAGTTGGAGCAGGTATGGTGGATGAAGAGGCTGAAGAGGAGGGGATGGTGGTAGTGGTTGCAGAATTCATTTTAACATTGGCACCATCTGCCTTCACTAAGTTAGGAATTTTCTCTAGACTGACTACTGGAACAGGAACACTGTAAAACCAAGGGAAAATCTTTAAGTTGTCTTTTCTCCACCAAAGATTTACAGTTACTTAATCTTCTTCCACAGATACAAAAATTTTGATGCAAGTGACACAGTATCTTCAGACCAGGCTAAAATGAAATACTTAGTACCATCATTGACTATTTTTGTTCAATTAAATGTGTACAAAATGAGGCACCTGTAAAGCCCAGCAATGTACAAAACAATGAAAATTAATCTTTTTGTGGGTTTTTTTTGTTTGTTTTGTGGGTGTTTTTTTCTTCTTTTCTTTGTTTTTTTAAGATCCAATCCCCTACTACTCATAAACAAAATAAGTCTTTGGTACTAAGCAAAACATATCCCCTTACATATATGGTCTCATGCCTTTTCAGCTCTGCATATGCTGTACTAAACTCACCATGATAACAAAGTAGTTTGCTAACAATATAATATTTTTAAACAAGCACAAAAATAATTCTTCTGTTCAGATGTGTCTGGATAACATACAAGTTCTGGAAACAAGGAGAAAAGAGTATTTAAGTATAGAAATTCTTCCTCTACAAGAATCAAAATCCTTGATGAACTGAACATTACTAAAATGTATTTTTCATAAAATCTTATGAACTGAAAAATAAAATTTTCCAATATAATTATTAGCTTATTTGGCTGTTTCAGAGTAAAGTTTGCAATAACTAACTTCTCCTAACTACCACCACAGCATATTTGTGAAACTAACAAAGGCTTTCTTCTCAATTTAGCAGCAAAAAAGATTGAGACAAGTGATTTTCAATTCCAACATTAACATTTCTAGCTCCTATCTGCATGAGGAAATAACCAGCGACAGCTGCTTTTTATCTAGCCAACAACTGCAAGATTGGATATCTTGTGACTACCAATTAATATATAAACTATATACCCCTCCTTGCTGAAACAAATCCAGAAAAAATATTAATTTGAAAAACTAAATTCTCAGATCTTTAAACCCAGGTTTCATTGGAGGTCGCAAATGAAAATATCTCACTTATTCAGTTCTTCCCATACTCTGCCTGAAGAGTTGCTTTCACCAAATAGTTGACTATTTGCCTTCTAAGCAAATTCACACATGGATCATGCAAAAATGACAATTTTCAGACTATCATTTCACACCAAGTAAACAAAAGAAACACAAGTTTTCTTAAATACAAATGCAATAGTGATGTTTAGAAGGTAAAATAAATTCCTGATCTAGAAGCATGAGAGTCTCCTTAACAGTACTCCTATCTTTTCCTTTCTGAATTGCACAGAACTAAAAAACCTCCATAATTTTAATCCCCAGCATAAATATGACAGTCAAGGAGGATGTCCCACATAGCAAAACTTAAAACTCAAGAATTCTTTAATCTATTGTTATCTTAAAGGTTTAACTTGATGTACTTGCTTATAGGTAAAATGAAATGTATTTATAAAAAGTGTGAAATTACTCATTAACAAACGGTACTCAAAGAACAATGTGCTTCTTGCACATCACTGTAGTAATTTTGCATTCTACAGGTGTGTTACTCATGACATTTGTTAAACACACCACTGCTGTTATTTAAATCAGTATATATTCTGAAGTATGCTGGCATGTTGCAGTTCAGGTAAGCAGAGTTTCTTGCCAGAGACCATACTGTTGTCTGTGTCCCAAGACAGGCAACATTTGCCTGTCTGCACATCACAGAATGGTTTGGGGCTTCTCACATAATTTCAGTCTTTTGTGTCTGAAAATTTGCAACTTTGCTTCATTCTTCCTATGGATGGAATGATTAACAGATGCGGAGTTTCTACAGTCAGAAAAAAGATAACTTTGGATGGCACTCCCCATGGGACACCCTTAGGAAACATCAGAAGCAGGGTCCAAAATAACTCAAGTCTTGACATTTCTGGGCTGCTACAAAGCCTTGGCTTCTCCATGGCTGCCGAAGATGATGATCAGAAAGTGGGGTGTGTGTGACTGGAGCTGACTCTCCCATATTTGGAGAGTTGCCATGTCCACTTGGAATATTTGGCAACTTAAGAGAAAAGTTGTTAGTCTTTGTTCTAAGGGAATTTTAACTAAGAAAAATGAACCTCAATCTAAATAATATGTATATAAATCTAAAATGAAGATTTAGACACCAAGACATATTCTGGACCTGGAATTAAATTACATGAAGCTTCCATATCCTGTGGTACCATAAATACAGCAGTCAGCTAGTCCAAATGCAGATCTGACTGCAGTAAAATGTAAAGTGCTGGCCAGTAACTAAGCAAAAAAAAACCAAAAAACCCCAACTTAATCACAAACCAGAACAGCATTAAGTATTTCAATGAATACAAACATGGAGCTATGAAAGAGAGGATTTGATCCTCTACTCTTTTAAACTGCTCTGAATTTATTAAGTTAAACGACAGACAAAAATTATAACATCTCAGGGTGGAATGAATTTATTTGCTTTTAAACAGATAGCAATTACATTTTCTGAAAATAGGAGATTTAAAAAAAATGTAGATCAAGTAGTTTTACTATAAAAAAATATAAAAATATCTTCATGCCCGGTTTCTAATATCTATATTAGTTCAAAGTACTGATGCACAGTGAAAGGGTCAAGTGTATTATCTGGTCTAGTAGTAAAATATAGTTAATAAATATGAAAAAAGTTTCTGTTTTGCAGTTCTCAGAACCTCAAATCTTAGAGCACATATGGATGGATCACTGTGCTACAGAAAAAGCCCAGGGTCCCTCCCTTGTTAGAGACCAACAAGTCAACCTGTATTATGCATTCCATTGCTGTGTAGAAGGAAAAAGAAAAATACTCCAGTATCTGAAGACACGGGTTCTATAGGACTCCTGGCAGTCTACACTAAATTATTTGAGATTTTAGAAACTACAGATGATAATTTTATTTTGGTTTGTGTATTAAAAACGTAAGCAGGTACTGCATTCAATATTAAGGAACTCTAGTTTCATCTCAGCATAATACAGAAAGATGAATCGATAACCAAATGGCAAACTGGAAGCTGCACATGACTGGTGACCATGGTCAACTACTAAGGACTAAAACCATAAATAAATCATAAATGCTTACACTTATATTCGATGGTTAAAGAGAGTTCTTTCCCCAAACTTGAGGTTTTTTGAGTGAAAATTGAGAGCTTGTTTAAAAAGTTTGTTAGAAAGATTAAAAAATAATCTTATTTACTATATTATAAAAAGAATTTTTGAATGAAGAGCCTCTTTAGATTTATTAAGGACAACTGCTGAAAGGAACAGTTAGAAAACCAACATGCAACAAACAAAAACCAAGGAAAGGCACAGGACAATCAGTAAAAATGAGAAAAATGGGAGTGCAGATGATTTCCAAAGATAGGTGAGAAAAATCTGTATTCAGTAAAGACAAGTTCACTTTTTTTTTTTACAAAATTAAGTTCTAATAATAAGAGCAGTATCTACCTAAAGGACAGTAAACTAGCTATTAGCAATGCAAAAATGACAGAAATGTTCGGTATTCCTTCTATACTAAGAAGGAAGCACGATAATGCTATCTTATCAGATAAAAATGTTTTTTGATTCCCTCAGTAAGTGCCAGCTGAAAAATCACGCCTTTTTTTTTTTTTTTTTTTTTTTTTTTTTTGGCCATGAATTCCAAAAGAGTTGGAGAGATATTGGGTGTCAGCATATTAATTTCTAATTGAATCTTGGAATATTTGGCAACTTAAGAGAAGCTGAGTGCTGCTGTTGAATCTACACTGAAAACCCAATCCACAGTGTCTTGGAAGAAATAATGGAAAAGCTAATAAAAATAAACTGATAAACAATTAGTTCACAGTTTTGTTGAAAATCAGATCTTGGCAAAGAAATCTGATTTTACTTTTTGATGAGGTTACCAGTTAAGCTGACAAAGGTAATTGTGAAAATGTTTTGACTTTTGAAAGGCATTATAAAACACAAATAAGAACAGTTTAAAAGCAAATGTTGAACAACATAAAATTAAAACCTAGGTTTTTAGAGCTTTATGATCCAGTAAGAGTGCTTGCTAGGGGGACTTTTTAGCCATTATTACCAAGTCTGACATGACTGAAAACTTCACTGGTCTTTAGAAATAAATACAAGATTACTGGTGATAACATTTGCTGATGGAATCAGGATCAAGGGAAACTAAATAATGAAGAGACAAAGGCAATTATAAAAAGTAGCATGGAGTGTTTGCTAATGTTAATTAAAAAAAAAATTAATACAAGCAGATGTAAAGTTACACAGAAATAACAAGCTATTCAGTCTGCAGTGAAATACAGGGAAACGACATACTGGAAAACAGTGACAAAAATATGTAGTGGTCACAATGGATAAGCAATATGAGCTTTTATTGTATTGTTGTGCTTATATTAAAAAAGGGATACAGTAAATAAGATTAAGGAGCAAATTTAGTTTTCACACATCCTTGGTTATACTGATACTGGAATATGGCTTCCAGCGTTGCTGACCAGTGGCTTAATGCCAATGCTGATGAATTAGAAGGAAATCAGAAAAAGGCTGGAAGAATATCTGAGGGCTATACAAAATGGTTGATCATGACAGGCTTCAAAAGCCCATTCTCTTTTTCAGATAGAATAATTCACTTCCTTCTGTTTTCTCATGTTCTTGGTCAGGCAGTTGGACTAGATGATCACTGTATATCCCTTCCAACTGCAATTACTCTATTCTATTCTATCTTACCCTATTCTAACTACTCCTTCAGCAGACCCTGCAACAAACTCCCAAAACAAGAGTGAATTTCCCTCCTAAGTATCTTGTGGAAATTTTTTTTAGTTCCAAGCCATTGCTTGTCACTGTCATTCCCAAGCAAGAAAAATACTTGTAGTATGTCATAACACTCCTCATACCTGGAGCTCCTTATTACCTGTTTCCCTTTCTTCAGGCTTTTAAAAATTATTCTTCCGTAAGAAGGAAGGTAATTTTGCTGTTGGCTTTGTTTTTGTTTTTTTTTTTGTCATACCTATATTTACTCTAAAATCTCCACCATTCATTCAATTTTTTTCAAATTTGCGAGAAAAGAAATTCACAAACATTTAAAAGCAAAACATTGTTCTATTCTGCATTGCTGGGATTGCCTCTACAATATAACAAAGTGCTTATGATTTGGTGTTAGAACATGTGGTCCAAGTTAACCGATGACTTTTGTTTCCAATTCCATGCTGCATTAGGAATATCCTTAAATCTTGCCTAGCCTTTACTTTCTCAACCTCAGTATGAATACTGGTATTTCCTAACACAAAGAAATAAAGACTAAGAGATGATTAAAAAAATCCTTTGAAAAGTGACATTATAAATTTTACATGATTACCCACAGGTATACCTTTTTGATCCTATTTCCGTTTACAGAAGGAGTGTCAGCTTTCTACATGTTCATGAAACCCACATAATTTCCATTTCATTTTCTTTATTTCCGGAACTTCTGGCAAGCAATGGCTAATCCTCATGGAGGGAGGTCACAGAGACTTGCTTCAACTGGTATCTCAAGTAAAGTAACTGCTTACTTTAACACTTCACCCCAATTTTACACTGCCTCAGGATCAGGGCTAGGTGGAAATGAACACCCTGGAGCATCACAGTACCAAAGTCCTCCAAGGCAGTGCTCAGAAGCTGTGCTGGGGAATGGCAAACGAGGCAGCATCCTTTGGGCAGGTCAGCAGGGAGGGGAGAATTCCTGGCTCTGCAGGAATGCCTTTTATAAAGGGTAATTATCTGGGCTATTCTTATAATTTATGATCACTTGTTCATTATTATTGTTATTACTACTAATCATATTATTGTCTTTTTCTTTTTTTTACCCTTTTGCTATCCCTTTTACCACGGCAACTGCAGGCTTCAGCAAATGATGGTTTACATTTATCTTGTGCACAGCGCAGTGGTGCTCCAGCACTGCTCCATTCTCTAAGCACTGCTATATTAATAGCAACGATGTTAGAGAGATCCAGGGGAAAAAAAAAAAAAAATCAGAGCTGACAGATATTTCTGGATGATGTATTCACAATAATCCTTCATATTCCAACTACAGGAAGGGAAGTATTAAAACAGCAGCTACAAAAATGAAACAGTTCCAGATCTCTTTCATCTGATCATTCTGCTCATGCTTTTTGCTTTTTAAAGCATACTCTGAGGTGCAACCTGAACCTCTGCAGCACACCTTAGAGCAATACAGGATGTGAAGAAGAGAAAGAGCTACTTGGTCAATGTTTAAGATGATGACTCAACCAAAATTATAATGAATTAAACAACGGAACAGTTGGGCTTACATGCAGGCAGGCATGATAACAGACAGATCTACTGGGCCATGATGCTGCAGAGGCTATTGCTGAAATAATACTACCAATTGTAGCAGCTAAAATTTAAAAGAGATGCTGTATGAAAGAATCAGGCAAGCACAACAAAGGTTATTACAGGTCTGGAAAGCAATCATCACAAGTGATACCACTCCTGAATTAAGTAAATTTGATAACTGTCTGGAAGAACCTATGTCAAGTAAATATTCATGGTATGAGACTATAATGTAACATACAAAAGCACTGAATAACTGAAAGCTTCTGAGGATGATAAACCACAACACACTTGGATACATGATGAATCCTATTTGCATTGCTGAGACAAACGTATTTGTGTCAATTGAGTATTTCTTTCTAAAAGATAAGTGGGTGAAAGTCTATGGCTTCTACAGATAGCTGAATGGAAGATACACTCAAAATAAAATAATTTTATGAATAATTTCTCCTTTAAGAAAAATCAGACCTGCTGAATATTTTAAAAATTCTAAATAAAAATTATAATCTACTAATGGAATGGGAACAAACACTTTCTTCCATAACAACTGTCAGCCCTCTATAACCTGTGATGATTATCACACTGATTTTATTATTTAACAAGTCATGTAATCTAAGGCACTTATCACTAAATTTTGAAAGGCAATTTCACTGATCTCCACTTCAGACTGTGGTTTGTTATGTGATGATTACAGTATCTTTAACTACTATATGCCTCGTTTTTCCCCACCGGTAAACAAACCCACAGTATTATCTCACAGCAGAGCTGCAAGAATTGGAAAATTCACAGGTACAACTACTGACATATTCATTACCAAAGTATTAACAGAGCAGTACAACAGTTTTAAACAGCTCTGTCTACCTTGTTCATCATTAGCAAATGTCTGGGATGTTCCCAAGGAAGGGAAAAAGAGATTGGTGGAAATGCTCAGTTATTTTGTTCCCTTCCAGCTTTTACTGACTGACAGAATGCCATCTGTTGCCAGAACGGAAGATATTGTTTATAGATTCAGTTAGTATTCTGAAATGTGGATATGTAAGTTGCTGTCTGTAATGCTAGGATGAGAAACAGGTTGACAGTCAGTGGTGTTAATACTCTAAAGTCCTTTCTGATTTTCTTTTAAATAGATTTTAAAAAAAAATCTCCTGTATAAAATTCCTCTCCAACATTAAGAAGAAGGGGTCACTATTCAGTCAATACTACTTTTTTTGAATAGTAAATGAGGCACTCACACCTTAACTAGAACAGCCTCTATGTCATCTGTGTGTGTGTGTAATCTAAACAACCAGAATTTCTATTTTCAGAATTATATACCATAATTGTCCCCAGTGCTCATCACACTTACAGAGATGGTGGGTTCAGATTTATAGGAAGATTAGACTTTGATCAAGTTTGTTCCAGCGCAGGGTAACTTCTACAGCTAGGCAGAAGCTGCTCTCTTTGAAATCATGCCAATTAGTGCCTGTTTCAAGGCAGAAGACATGAGCTATTACTTTAACATAATTTGAGTTTACGCTTTGTCTCATGAGTGAATGGTTTGCATTAGATATTTACTGCTTTTTCAGCTGTGTACAGAAACCCTACCTAAAATCATGACCTATAAAAGGGAAGGATCTCCACACAGTAAGTAGATAAAAGTTATGAAAAAGGAAGTCTTACTATCTCAAGTTTACAGACACAGAACTGAGGCCGAGGAGACTAAGGCGTAACAGTAGCCTCTGCAGAACCAGGAACTGAACCCACATCTCGAGCCACCAACCTAGTGACCTAATCACAAAGCATCTTTTCTGTAGATTACTAAAGACAAAACAGTTTCTTATGGGATAAAATAGTGACCCAGTTCTGCTCTCATTTACATTTTTGCAACTCTGCTGCAATCATCACAGTCACGGGAGGATGGGCTTGGCAGTCTCAAAGCCTATATGTGTGTATATATATCACAGTACATGATGTAAGATGCCCCCAAAATAGTGATTTTTGCAACCAGAATTTTCTTCTGTCTTCTTATATGGCATCAAACATTATCAAAATACAGAATGAACAGCAGCTGCTATTGAAAATAAATGACTATAACCAGTAAGTTTTCATGAACATCAGATAAACCAGTATTAAGAACTCTGCAAAAATTATCCTACTATTTAAAAGCATCAATTTTAAGGGCTGATACTGTAATGGAAGATGCACCTGAAAGACAGCAAACTGGGTCAATATCTCACTTGCTGTATGTATCTTAGAAAAGCAGACATTTGATAGAACATCGGAAAAAGTAATCCAGTCCTTTCTTCCTCTTCCTATGTATTTTTAACTTAAAAACATCCCTGTTTTCTCCCTTAGGAAATTTAGAGGCTTCAACTGTAAAATTAGATGATGAGTATACGTACTTTTTTAAATGATTGTGAAATACATAGAGATAATTGTTTTTTGAACACCAACCTCTTCAGTTACTATTATTTTGGTACTTACCATGGTTTATCCCGTGATACTTTTGAAGGAAAGACTGTGTGCTGTTTGCTACTGGAGGTAAGTAGATTGTCTTTGGGCGTTTTGAATGGCTTTGAGTTGCTGCTGACAGGGTTATGGCCGCTGATACAGGATTTCGGTTTCATCTGTACTAGGGATGTCCTGGAATTGCAGGCTGGAGAAGCTGGAGAAGGGGAAGGTTTACACATTGAACCGTGTCTTCGTTCTGTAATGGAAAGATAATAAACTTTACAGCATTTCATAGGCTAAAAGAAAAAAAAAAGAAGTCAGGGAAGAGGAAATTGTTCCTCTCTATGCTAGTTACAATGATTTCATCACTTTGAAGAACACCAGTTCATTACTGTTGTGAATGTAATCAAGCCAAATGGTAATTAAACAAAGTCAACTCCATGAAGTGCTCTGAAAAATGTAGAAAATAGTAAAATAAATGCTAATAATCTACCAGAAAATTTCACCAAGAAATCTCAAATCATTTTTTAAGCAATAAGCAACCACCAGCATCTGTGTGAGGAACATTAGGTGCCCCAGCTCTTTCACGTATAGTATGGAACAGCAGCTCAGATAACTCGGTGAAATACTCTGTGACAGACATGAGATTGCTTCTGTAATGGTTTATGAAGAATTCACGTGACCCAATTTACTTAGTGACAATCTGGTTTCAAGTTTAATGGAAAGTTCTAAGGAAAACAACTGGAAGACTGAAAAGTAGTGCAAGGTCTACTGCTCCCAGCTGTTCCAGAGAGGCAGGCTCTGCCTGATTCACAGATTGGAGGTTATCTGCAAGCACCAATCAAGGTAAAAGCTTTTTTTTTTTCCACACAGAGCAAATGGCAAGTGCAAAAAAGCAGGAAGTTTATGTATTGGTTACAAACATCGCATCTAGAGGTCAGGCCCTTGTGTAAGCACTGTTCATGCTCACACAAAAGACCTCTTAAGTACAGCAAAAAGCAAGGCCCTGCTGACCACCACAACAGGAGAACAGCATTCAGGACAGACAAACTTCAGTAAAATTGTTTGGGTTTGGTTATTATTATTATTTTTTAAAATCCAGACATCCTACCCTCGATAAATAAAAAAATTGTTTTAAGAAGGTATTTGGCCATTCTTTACAAATTATATACTTCTCCAGGGGAGAAGTGCTAATGTGTGACCCGCCAACTGGATCACAGTGTGCTGCAATGACAGGCTTGGTGCTGTGAAATTAAGCACAACTACAAAATATTAGAGGAGACAGGAATTGTTTTATGCTGAGATGCGCTATAAATCCTTAACAGTCCCGTCCCCCCACTTGCAGGAGCACCCCTTTCCCAACTCCTTCACCCTGCAGCAAGCCAGCCCCGGTGCTCCCCAACCAGAGGCAGCAGGTGGCAAGGGCAGGCTGGGCAAGAGAAATATTCCAGTCAGAAGCAGCCAACTCTGGCTTGCTGGCACCCGGGCACTTGAAAGCCTCCAAGGCAGGTATCAGCCAGGTACCCCTGTTACTGACACAACAATCAAACGCAGCAAGCACGATGTAATTACAGACCAAGAACTTTGGACAAGCTGGAGTTTCTCCTTCAACACGCAGTGATTTTTGCTTGTCCAAAGCCTTCAGCATTTAGCCTGAAGAATCCAAGTGGATGCTACTCTTAGAGCTTGTGCAGCATCGCCCTGTCAGCCAAGAGCAGGTTAAGGAAGCAACAGCAACCTGTGGCTGCAAGGGAAGGTTTTGTATGTACATTATCAACCCTGTGCTTGCTAGTTTGATATTTCAAGGATAACTAAGAAAAATTTTCCCACAGAGAATCAAAACATGACAATTTGTCTGGCATCCTCACAAGTAAAAACTTGCCAGTAGCAGGAGGATTCATCCATGATTAGTTTGCAATAGGTAAATACGTCAAGAACAAAGATAAATGCTTTAAAAAAATAATAAAAGAATATTCCAAACTGTTTCTGTTATATCTCCAATGACTAAATAAATGCATTTTCTATTAAAGATCAATTTGTATCTTCATTTTCACAGCTTTAATTACAAATGCTGAAACTCCCTCCAGATTCTCCTGCAACTGAAGAATAACAGTCTTGATTTTTTTATTCAAATATAAGAAGTATCTCCCCTCAACCCTGAAATTTCAACTGTCATTTGCCAGTTTTCACTCCACCACACACCTCAGTGTGCAGTCTCTGCCTTTAAAATTCCTTCACAGGATGCAGTTAATTTACATTAATTTCACCTCACATTTGTGGGGGTAGCTGTGTAAGCTATGTATCTGCCTCTGAACTGCAGAGTTCCATCCACAGATAATTTATTTCGTTAAATAATAGTTATTGTTTCAAGATTCACCAACCTTCTCAGCAACTACTTAATTAATTTAAATTAGCTTAATAAAAATATGCAACTTCCCCGTTATTTATTTGAGGACTGATGAAAAAGAACCGCTACATAACCAACAAAACCAAGCTGTATGTAAAGTGAAACTTGGGAAAAAAACATGATTACCATACACAAATTATATGAATTCAGGATTGATTAATCTTCACCACAGTTACTGGTTTCCCCAAGACCAACTGCCTTCTAGTATACTGTGTCTTTGATAATCATCCCTATGGATATATTTGGATGTGAAATACACTACTCTGTTATTAAAATTAATCTTCCGGAAAGATGGACATTCAAGATACTGACCACCTAAAGTTGTATTTTAAAGTCATCTATATATCACATGCCACAGCAAGTTATATTTTAACAGTCTCTTTACATTGGATTTTTAGACAAGCTAAACGTTTGATGCTTTCCCTAGACAACTTTCTCAATTTATTAATTCTCAAGAGCAAACCACTACATTAACTTTTGATTTTTTAATTATAACAGAAAATGGTGGTAGAGGCACTGTTGTGATATGACAATATAATATAGTGCATCCCATTATTTTAAATAAATGTTTACTCAAAAGATAGGGAATGAAAAGACTACAAGATTACTTATTTTATCTGAGGACCAGGTTGGTGGTCATTCTTGTAATTAGAACCAACTGCTATATTTGGCATTCCCTTTTACCTCCTCAAACTCCTCTCTTCCCTCAAAACATGCTACAGAAAGTCTTCCACATTTTAGATAAGACTCTGATACACATTTGAGAATCATCAGCATTACCCAGCTTCTCTTGAAATTTCCTAGAACAAAATGGAAATTATGATCACTGTAAAGTCATACAGGAGGAAGAACACAAACGGCCACTGCCATACAACCATCAGCTGTTCTCAGACACTGCTCAGATGGGCAAAATCTGAATGTTTACTCACGAAAGTGAAAGTCACTTTAGTGTCAGCAGGAGAAGATTGCAGCAACACCTTGCAGGTAAGGCTACAGTGGAGAGCTGGAAGAGTAACTCCCTCCAAGGGGGCAGAAAACCACTGTTTGATCTGGGCAAGCACAGCCGCAGAAAGCTGTACTTGCTGAAGGCGTGAAACCTCATAGACAAATATCGATGGTGGGGGCATAAATCATAACCAAATATTGATCTATTTCTTCTCAAGAACTATTAAGGCTGCCTCTCACTTCCTCCTTCCTTACTATGTATGAGGTACTGAACCAGCCTTAGAGATTGGTAATAAATTTCAAAGAGAAATAATGGGAATATATGACAAAGCAAGAAGACTGTCAACTGTCAAAATCAACTGCTTAAACCATGGTGGTGGTGCTCCTCTATCAAACTGAGTTTCCTGGTCATATCTGTTTTTTAAAAATTCGCACTAATTTGACTATTCATATTACATATATAGACAAGGAATTACACATAATATAAAAATATGCTATTGTACAGCCTATGTAATAAATTAATATGTGAATAAAAGACATTTGCACATCAAATAATTGTTATAAAATTACATAGTCACATAATGACACATTCAGGAGACAACCAGCCATCTGTGTAATAATTTCTACGCTCATTTGCAGTTCATGTGTAGACAGATTCAATCTAGCAGGGCAGATGAACTTGCACACACACACACACACACACACAGCTGTGGACATGACTGTCCCTGTTTACATACAGAAGCAGCATAGTCACTGGACATCAATGACCATCAAGTTGAATGAAAATTTTTGCCCCTAAAAAATGAAAAAAATTCTGCAAGGCAACTAGAAACCAGTTATTGCTCATAAGATACTAACCTAAGTTCTACATGCAATTCAGCTTCTGCAGAAGCTTGCAATGCTATGAATGTGTGCTCAAGTTTAAAATATGAAAGAGAACTTTTCCGATTCACTTAAATACTTCCAAATGGATGTTTATACTCCACGTAAATAACAACACATATTCTGTTTTGTTTCTAAATGCCAGTTGCTCTCAAATCCAAAAGCAGAGAGAACACAAGCAAAGTTACAATCCTCTTTACCACATTAATCCTTCTGCAACCTCTCAGCTGTCTCAGTGCCGCCACTGCAGCAAGTGACAAGCAACATGTGACTTCTGCTGCCAAACAGTTAATGTATTAATGACATTCATCTCAGAGGAAAGTTTAACACCTTCTCACTGAATTAACTGCACTTTCTAAGGAATCAATTTCAGATCAATATCTGTTATTTTTTTCTAGTTAGTGTCAAGGATCTAAAAGCCCAACACTACATATCGTCCTAATGTGCACTGCAAACTCTGCATCAGTAGCATTACAAACCATAAACTATTCCAGGAGATTCTCCACGTCCTATGGAAACATGGATATAGTCCAACTTTCTCAGCCAAAGCTGAATTGTTTGTAGATGTGAAGTCCTTATGTTGTTGGAGACTTAACAGTCCCTGAATCTCCAAAGCTTCTCTCCCATGCCCTTGTACTCCATTTCTAATCCTCCTTCCTGCATCCTACACAATGCAATCCCCTACCTTTCCCCAAAACCTCTGCTGCAGCTGCCAAAGTCCTCTAGGTCTGCCTTTGAATCTGTAATTCCATTGGATCCTCTCTGACGGGTCACCAGGGAATACTAGCAGCTGTTTTGCAGGAAACGCCACATCTCCTTCTAATCATAAGCAAAAAAGCAAAGCAACTGAGAGGCAACATGAGCTCCAGAGCCCCAAGCACAGCATGTGGGAAAAAGAGGCAAAACCACATTCTGAATAAAAAGACTCTTCTTGAATTTTTGCCTTGACTCTCTCACATTAGATCAAGCACTCACGTAGCTCACAGCAAACCTTACAGACAAGTACACAACAGTAAGTATGT